AAATTATTATTAAATTAAATTATGCTACTTAAATTATTTGGTTAAAATAAATTTCAAGCAGAAAGGCCCTACCTAAATACCTTGTCCATATTTTTTCAAAAAATAAGAAACTTTTATCTCTTTCTGTTGAAAAAAGAGAATTTGTTGTAGCATAATTAATATATGACGGTCTTATTATAATTAAAAAGAGAAAATGTAAAATCAAAAATTGTTTTTATTTTTAATTTAATCTCTTGTTAAATAAAAATGAAGCAAAGTAAATTTTTTTTCTAGGAAGAAAAACAAAAATTTTTCAATTCTTTATTTTTTATTTAAAAAGAAACATCCGATTATAAAACAGTTCTATTTCATTTATTTATCTTTTGTTTCACTCTTTCTCTCTCTCTCTCTCTCTCTTACTCTTCCTTTTCTTGAAAGTTCAATTGAAATGAATCTGCTAAGAAAAATTATCGTTCTATTTTATTTCAATTATATTTAAAAAAAAAAAAAGCAAAAAATTTTCTTATCATTTTTTAGGGTTCATAGAACCTTCAAACAAATTTATTTCAATAAAATATTCTTGATGACATATTAAAAAAAAAAAAAAGTTTGAACTGTCATTGTCATATACAAGAAAGTACAATTATTTTATCCTTGAAATTTTTTCTTTTTCTGTATAAAACTTCTTCCAAAAATATTTGAAGGAAGGAGAAGGTTATGTACACGAGTTTTTTTTTCTTAGAATTTATTTTTATATACTGAAAAGAAAAATATAATCTAAGACATTGTGTTAAGAATTTAAAATTATTGTCAAAGTTATAAAAAAATATTCAATGGAAAGGTAATCCTTTTTTGAATATAACAAAACTTAGTTATAAGTAGAATCTACAATCTACAATTAGTATAGGTCATGTAAAAAGGATTTCACTTGTTAAACATTAATACAAAGAAAAAATTTTGTACCACTCCTATAGTCTAAATTTCTTCTAATAAATTAATTGTTGAATATAATCACTTTCTGTGCTTATCAAACGTGTTAAATCTTACCCCGGTTAATTTAAGAGTCTTAATTTAACTAACATTTACGTTTGCTTTTCAAATTATTATTTAGGAGAATCTATAAAAGAATAAATTTTGTATTTTATGCTCATTATTAAATAATACATTCTAGGTATAAAACAAGAATAAAACAATGCTCTCTGACAACTGCAGAACAGATGGTCAATACTTTGTGGGTTCGTAACAGTGATGTAAGATGCTACTATAATTAAGGCCCTTATCTAGTGATAATTTAAATTTATTTCGAAAATTAAATAATTTTTTTAATAACTATGCCAATATTTTCAACAAAAAACCACAAACTTAATATCTAAAATAATTTCTTGTTATTTTTCAAATTTAAAGTGAATTTCTAGCAACAATAAGCAGTGTTTCAATATTTTAAATTAATTTGCAAAAATAATATAAAACAATGTCAATTTCATTTATACAGTTTAAGAAAATCATACAATCGCAGCTGAAGGAAACTTAAAAAAATTATTTTAACAATAAATTGTCATAAAACAATCAATATCAGAAAAGGACCACTTATATGTAAGGGTCATAAGAATACTCTAGTAATTTTTCTTTTATCTATATAAATTCATTAATCATTAAAAATTTATTATACGCACTTATATACCAAAATATTTATGCGCAATTTTTTAATTTTGTAAATGGGCAACAATACAATAAGTTAAAAATAACACTTTTTTATCAATAAAAATTCCAAAATCACATTTATATGAGTGTAAAATCCTTTATAACTACAATACAGTTATTGTATAAAAAATAATTTCCTTATTTTATCATAAAAATTTATTCAATTCGTAGATTGCGGAAGATTCTTTTTATTTAACCTGCATAATATCAAGAATATAAAAGTATATTGTGGCAAGTCAAACATTTTTAATTTTCCATTATATTTATTAAAAATATAGCTCAGTACAATATTGTGGGGCATTAAGTTCACTTTTCATTTACTTCCAGTGGAATTGAATATCGCTAACATGGCGGTCAGCTATGCCGTCAGATTCAGGGAGGGTGGATGCTGGAACCCGAGAGACTGTGTTAGGGAGACGGAGCCTGTGGTAGTATTCTTTGGTGGTTTTGTGCAGCTGGACCATCCGATGTGTTCATGGACTATTTTAAGTTAAGATTAAGCTTCGACCAGAATTTTTGTGTCGAGCTTCCTTATCGTGGTTTAGATTCGATTCTTGTGTTAATTAACTTTTGTTATAATGCAATTGCGAATCCTTATGTAAAATTCGTCAAACAGACTAATATCTGAAAGCGTTGAGAAATCAATGTTGAAACTTGTTCAGTATCACTTTATTCAACCATTTTTTCAATTGAATTCAGAAAAATTTAAAAATTTTCGTAATTTTTGCTTATCCCATGATAAAAATTTTAAAATTTTTTTGGAATTTTTTCAAAAATCACTATCAATTTAATTTACAATATTTTTATTCTAGAAGCCAACACCCTTACATATATCTATGTATGTATATGTAAGAAATCATCAAAACAATAAATAGAAATTATTGCTATAAGGTCATGGACTCAATCACATTAGAAACAAAATGTAATTTTTTTTTGTACTCTCTACTAAATAATGCTAATAATATTAATAATAATAAATTGATTGAAAATAACTTTTCAAGAAGAAAATTTCTTTAAGAGAGAATAAAAAAATAAACATAAATACTTATATAGTTATGAATGTGTGTGCGTTCCGTGTACATTCTTATTCACTTAAAACGCAAAAAGATGGTTATTACTGAAGTTTTCTTCTTCATTAACTATACATACTATATGATATTAGGCCTCTACTATTCTAGTATATATTTTAATAGGTACATACATAGTTATACATACATACAACTATATAGTTAAAAAAAATTTTATTTATCTTTATAGTAACACCCTTAAAGTTATATTGTTTGTGATTTTTATGATTATTTTATAGATACCATGACTTTACTATATACATATTATAATTGTTGTTTGCTATTACCTAAAATCAATAATGTCAATGACTAGGAAATAATTTGTTTTGTACATAAATACATATAAATTATATACGAATATTAAATAAAGGTAAATGTACCGTGTCAAAAGTCACCAGTATCATCGAATATTAAATATTTATAAGGACACTAAAAATTAAGGTATTCTGTTGATTGCAAAATTAATATTAATTTTAATTTAAAAATTTTTCAATTTTTATATTTTTTATTCATAATAATGCAACTAGTTGAGGAAATTTGACTATGTTTCCAACATATTATATGAATAAAGCCGTAAAGACTTTTAAATTTACTCGTAAAAGCCACCCAAAATAGATTCAACATATTTAAACTGAAAGTCTAAAATTTGAACAAATTGTAATTTCATATACATTCTTTTAAAATTTTAGAATTTTTTGAAAGACCATTTTAAACTGCAAAGTAGGTATCATTCGTAAATTTCTTTAATAAAACCAAAAACTCCAAAATTCGTTTTATTTGCAGTTTTAACCTGAGAATAAAATTTAAGTTTCAATTGCTTCAATTTAACGAAAAAGAAAAGACACTGAAACATTCGGAAGATATTCCAGGACAAGAATCAAATCGATATGTAGAAAAGTTAAACAAAGGTATATTTTAGGTCTGAATATGTAAATCGCTCGTTGACAAAAAAGAAATTGGAATTGGCAAAAACAGGAATTGGTAAAGATAAAGATCACAAAAAATTGGTAAAGATAAAGATTAAATATTAGTAAAGATTAAATCATAAACTAAATTAATAACATATATCTATCCTATCCACTCTCTTTATTTCAACATTTCACTGTCCCCTTTCCTGTTTATTGCACTTGCCAGACCAATATGTTATCCAATTGAACTGTAAATAAAAATATTTTATGAAAAATCCTGTTATAATCTATAAGAAATCATTACAAATTAATTAAATAATGGCATTCATAGGATTGAGATTCGTTAAAAATTTTATGAGCCAAATTTTTAAGAAAAAATTGAGTCAAATTTTGATGAATTTCAAAAGTAGATTTAGTTTTCCAATTTATATAAAAATGGCCACCCTCTTGGTAAACATAAATTTCAATTATGTATATACATACTTTTTAATACACCTATTTATATACTATATAAATGTTATATAAATGTTATAAAAAATACTTCAATCTATAAAAGAAAATAACATGAAAAAAAAAAAAACAAAAAACGAAAATTGAAAATTTTCAAAAGGCTCGGTCTATTATTTTGTTGATAGGCTTATATTTGCTACTTGATAAATTTACTTAAGAAACTGATATAACTTGATTACTTTATGAATAAACCACCCATAAGGGGTTGTAAATTGATACATATAATAAATATGTAAGTATATATATATAAAAATTTTACTATATATAAAATGGGGTTAAATGGGGAAGAAAAAAATATGTTTTTGTCATTGATTTGTAAGAATTTATAATATGCCGCTGTAATAATTTTTCTATATAATATTTATAAATATATACACATTATATGTACATATGTATATTTTTAATAATATTTTGCAAGTATAATATGATTAAGTGTATGTATAAAAGTATATGAAAAGCATTTATTAAATTTCGACTATATGAAGTTAATTTGATTTTATTATTATAGATGTTTATACAAGAATGTTTGTGTATATATATATACATAAATACTTATATATATGTTGTTTTTTTATATAAATGTGTGTTTAGTTTTTCTCAATTTATATTTCTTAATTATATATTTAAAATTATTTAATGTTAATGTGTTTATTTAAATTAAATATTTCAAAATTAGATTGGTATGAATTTATGATGTTTCACTTAATTTTCATATAATTTGACATTTTTTAAGCATAATAAATTTATTTTTTTTTAAGTAGAAAATTATTTTAGTATTAATTTCTTTTTGTAATTAATTTTTCATATTAAATTATAATTTTTATTTATCTTACAGAATAAAGTTGTGACTGTAGATCATACAAAAGTTAAATTACAAATTTGGGATACAGCAGGACAAGAACGTTTTCGAAGTGTTACACATGCTTATTACAGGGATGCTCATGGTAATTAAATAAATATCTAATCAAATAATTATTATCGAAATTTATATGGGATAGTTGGAAATTACTATTCAAATAAAATGAGAAGAGTTAATTGTAGTACTGCATGTTCATTGTTTCAAACATATTTCCGGATTCTTATATATATATATTGCTTTCATACATATATATGGCAATTACCACATAAATTTGTACTATCCCAAAGAAATTTTATTGAAATTTATTGCTAATTACCATATTCGTTTATACAAAATTGCAATAGTTTTCAATATATATGCGACCATATGACTTTCGAAATTGTATGATAGCTGTCACCTTAAGTCAAGTAATTTCAACTAATTTTACGAAATATTAAAGCGCTAATAAAACACTTGTTTGCACGAAATTTCAATTACTATATAAGTTTTAAAATTTCTGAGATCTAGCCAAATAATTTTTGAAGTTGTATGGCATCTCTGATAAACGCTCATCTTAATGGCTTTTTCCGAAAATAATGATCATTTTACCATATTTGTTTGTTTTTGCGTAAGTCAATTATGACTAAGTAGGTTTAGAAATTGTATGGCGGCTACTACAAGGAATCATGAAATTTCAACGAATGTTATCACTTAACAGGGTTCTGGTATTTGATATTATAAATCATTTGAGAAAATTTGGTGAGCTTAAGTCAAATAATTTTTAAGTTACATTTGGAATGAACTAACTCATAAAACGGCGCACAGATTAAAATATACCCTTATATCTACATTTCAGAGCATTATTTCTTTGCATTACGAACGCTAAGACAAATTTATAATTCCCTTCGAACATACGTTCTTACGAATATAATTAAATTACCTACATGCAGAAATATTTTGCAAAAATGTATTTTTTGCAGATGAAAATTTTTAACTCGTATATTATAGTGACAAAACGTAATTTCATGATATTACAACTTAAAAGTTTTTACTGTTTAAACAAATATCTAGGGTTAATTTAAAGATAAATTTTGCTTTTTAAACATAAATTTTGTTTTCCCATTTAAATAGTATACTTCTAGGGGTACAATATTTAACATAGCCAAAATTATTATAAATCTATTGAAAAATATTACATAAAAAATGAATATCAATTAGTTTTGAACTTTCACTGGCAAAACCTTATAAATTCTCCAATAATTCATCAGAAAATTCTCAGATCATATTACCAAATATATTAAATTAATACAAACATATGTATAACAAAATTTTATTATTATATTCCACATTTAAATTGAAACGTGGAATATGCAAAAATAAAAAAAAAAATTCACATAGAAAATAAATTGTAAATTAAATCTTTCACATTATTTTTTGAAAAAATTATCTGCGTGGGAGTCTATTTAATTAAGTATAATAAATTTCGCATATAAAATTTTATTTGATAAATTAATAAAGCCTTTAAAAACAAATATAATATAAAATAATAAAACTTTTTAAATTCTGTGAAAATTTAAACAGGAAACAAAAAATTTCAATATATTTTAAATTTTTTATATTAGAAAAATTTTATATTTACTTAAAAATTTGTTTTATTATACACCATCACCCACTATTTTCTTTTTTTTTTATTTTATCATTAGATTATTTCAAAATCCATTTATATTTGAACTTTGCGTCAATTCTATTTACTTTTACGTCACCCTAAAATCCTAAAAATATATTTCTTTTCCCACAATAAATTTCAAAATGAATGTAGGATGTTTAATAATTAAAAAATGTTACAATGCTATTACAGTAAAAGAGAATAAATGTTAATCATCTGTTATAATTAAAAAAATTTTCTCAGTTTTCTATATTATTATGATTGAAGTTTCAATAAACTGTGGAATTTTGAAAAAGTCAAGGCATTATTGTTTTTAGCATTTTTCTTAAAAAATTGAAGAAAGATTTATTATTAGTTTTACTCTGTCCTTCCCATTGGTGCGACAATTTTAAATTTTATGTACAAATGGGTTCTAAAATGGCCATTATAATAAATTTGACAATACATTGTAGTCCATTTTTTGAATTCCATAAACCGTAGAAAATAAGCAACTTGCTCCATCTACTACGAAGTAGCATGAACAAACATTAGAATGGCCGTTGAAATTAATGTCTATCGTAAACTAGCTTCTTTTTTCAAAATTTTATCATGGTTTTTCTCTTACATTGATGTTAAGTTACTGAAAATCTAAGATTGCCGAGAATCTAAGATTTTAACGGTGTGCAGTTATGGAGTGTATCGATTTCACAGCCCGCTAATTATGTGAAAACAAATAAAAATTCAGCGAAAAACTATAAACTAATTAGATTTTAACAGTTTGTAGAAATTTTCAAATCACTTTTTACTTAATTTTTTGTATGTCCTTCCAAGTCAAATTATCGCCTCTCAAAATTAACGAAGTTTCATTATCATAGGTTGCATATTTTCCGAAACTATGAGGTTTTTCAAACTTTCATAAAATCAAAAAATTATTAGCAAATGTTTCACCATCAAACAGTTTAATTATTTATTTCGGTATCACCTAGTTAATCGTCAAATTCCACAATTGTGTTTACACTTCTCTTAATTTTTGTGCTGATCCTGAGGATATGCAATAAATATTTATTTTACTAATTCTTTAGAAATTTAATCCTTTGCAAATCAATGATTTGATATAATGATTTTTTTTTCTTTAAAAAAATTATCGATTTTGTATGGCTGGTTTTTTTAACAATTATCGTCCTATTTCACATATAATTAGCAAGCCGCATACCATTTACGCTCACATACCCTATAAAATTTATTATATATCACGATATCAATTATATATTATGTATTTAAATAATTATTATGTCATATCTTTTTATATTTTATAGCATTACTTCTTTTGTACGATGTAACAAATAAAATCAGTTTTGATAACATAAGAGCTTGGTTAGTTGAAATTAGAGAATATGCACAAGAAGATGTTGTTATAATGCTTTTAGGTAAATATATTTGAAATTATTAAAATACACAATTAAATAATATTTTAATAAATAGGGAATAAAGCTGATGCTGTTGCTCATGATAGACAAGTTAAAAAAGAAGATGGTGAACGTTTGGCTAAAGAATACAATGTTGCATTTATGGAAACATCAGCAAAAACTGGATTAAATGTTGAATTAGCTTTTGTTGCTATTGCAAGGTAAAAAAGCAAAAATTATATAATTTTTAAGTAAATTTCTACAATTTAATTTATATGTAAATGAAATAAATTTCAATATATGTGTTTTTTTTTATGAAAAAATTTATTTTCTAAAATAATTGCAAAAAAATTCTGGGTAAATTGTATAAAAATTATGATTTATTCAATAAATATTGATTTTGGATTTGATTGTAATCTCTTCGAGAACGAACTTCTCATAATTCTTAAGTCTTATAGTAAAAAAAAAAAAAATTAAAAATTAAAAATATTCCACTCAAAATCCTTAGAACAATAAACGAAAATTTAAAGCACAATATAAGAATGAACTATAAGCTCACCATCAAAACGAGTGAAGAAGTTACAATAACAGAATAATGTAGATCAAACTCGAGCTCACATTTTGACCCTGGGTACCAAAATTCATATAAACAATTATTCCATGTAACCACAGTATTTGCTTATGTTTTAAAATTATTCTCTTTAATTAATAAATCATGTGTGCAATAAAATGAATAATGATACAATTATATTTTAATTTAAATAAAATATTTTAAAATTCTTTAAAAAAAAATATTTGTATATAAAACTTTATTAATTTTCTTATTTATCTTGTTTAATTTTCTTTGATCCCAGGCAATTGAAAAGTAGAAGGAGTGATTCAATAGATGAATCAAAATTCAATGTTGTAGATTTTGTTAATGAAAAAGCAAATCAAGAAAAACAAACATGCCCACCATGTAACATGTAACAACATCTCTTGTCAGAAACATCATGAACAACAACACAGAATTTTTACATCAGCAACAGGAATAAAAAAAAAAAAATTTAAATGAAATTTTTTTTATTTTACAAGATTTTTTAATATATAAAAAAAATTAAAAATAAAAACAAAAAAAGTAAAAAAAAAAAAAATAAATACCAAAAATGTAAAAAATACCAAAGACACACAAAATGCACACAAAAACAAAAAAAAAATAAAACAAAAAAATTAAACAATAATATTGTTAAACAAAAATTATACATACTTATATACAAATATATATATATATGTATATATGTACGTACATGATATATAAACAAAAATATATGTACATAAAAATATTGTGTATGTATGTATGTAAAAAATATGAATTTAAGAAACAGAAAGAAAAGTTTATTTTTAATATTGTTAATTTAAACCAATTAATTAGGGGCCATTTAACCAAAAAAAAACGCAAAAAAATAAAAGACAGAAATATAAAAATCTTATATTACCAAAATAAAAAAAGAATGAAAATTTTGTATTTTGTTTTTTATAAAATATATTTAATTTTTTCTATTTATACTTTAATGCTAAAAAATTTAACAACTTTTTTAATATATAAACAAATTTTCTTCTATAATATCAATAATACTGAAATGATAATTACAAAATTCAGTATTCATTTAATGAAAGAATCATTAGGGAATTGGAAACCAAAAACCAATAGAACAATAGAAGTACTTACATAATATTTATCGTCTTTTACAACTATAATATTGCCATTTGAATTGAAGGACAAAACTTTCTTATTTCTAATAAGAAACAAAATTGAACACGAAAAAAATTCAGTTTCATTATATTCAATATTGTCATTGCAATTATCATAATTAATAACCATATACTTGGATCCTATTGCACCAATCTCTTTTACTTTTCAAATTTTTAAAAAAGTAATTTTTAGTACAGCTGAGTTTTGACTCTCATTTAAAATTTATTAAAATATTAATTATTTTGAGCAAAACAAAAAATACAATGAAATTGGTGTTATGTCGTTGGTATTAAGACGACTGTTTTTAGATTCAAATACAGTTTAGGTATAGTAAATATTTCCCGTGATTTGATTAAATTATATTTGAATTAGTATATCAGCTACACGAAAAACTATTCCAATTAAATCCAATTTATTCAAAATTTTTCAATTGTTGTTGTAAAACAACATTATGGCTGAGTACAATGAATGAACACTGGTACAACCAGAAAAGTTTAAACTACTTATAGTTCAACTATGAACAAGACTTTATATCATTGTGTTTATACATCGTTGTAACAAACGTAGTTTCCCATGAGTACGTGTGGATGAAAATAACCTTAAATCAAATAGATTTACTTGGTAGAACAAAATTTTCTTTGATTGTTTAAAAATTCAACTCGAAAGTTAATCGTTAATAATGAAAAAGAGTGAAAAAGATTTTATGTATGCAATCATAAAGAAGATTTATAATATTAACAAAGGTTTACATATGCATGAGATCAAATACATTTTAATTTTTGTTAAACTTTATTAACAAATTTGAAAATTAAAATGTAATCAAATTTATTCGGATTCAATAGACTTTTTCTTTTACAATTTCTTTAAAAACATTGTCGAGAGTTTCAATAGATTCTGTAAAATATTTACATAGTTTAGAGTTCAATTTCATTGCAATGTTAAGTAATCGCATTATTCTACAGGGCGTTTCAATATTGTAAGAAAAACGTTTACATATTTACATTATTTATGACAAATGTATGAAAATCATTGAAATATAGAAACTAAACTTGTAACAATAATTCAAATATTTACATATATAATGTGCATATTAAAATACATCCTTTCTTATCTTCCATTATAATGGAAAAATATTAAAAATAAAAAAATAAAAATTTCTTATAATTAATTTTTATGTGCTACAAATTAATAATCAAAAATTTAACTAAGACTTATTATAAATCATATCTTAAGTTAATAATAATCATATATTTATATGTAATTTTTATTATAAGTTTATTATTTTTGAAAATTTGGAAAACATTTTTGGTTATTTGTGCTTGTACAGAAAAAATAAATTGTAATATTATATAATATAATAAAAATTTACAACATATCGTTCTTACTTACATATATAATAGTAAAATATATATTATGCATATTAAAATAAAATATCTTTTTAATTTCTTAAATTCTTATTCTAATAAAATTATAATTTTCTTTTATAGATTTTATTTGAAAATTATCATTACCATTATATGAATTGAACATATAGAAAATATTATTAATAAATTTAATTTTAAGTTCATTATTTTAGGATATTTAATAAATTATTTATGAAATTCTAAAATCAAATATTTTTAAACTCTATAAAATTTTGTACAAATCATAATTGCAAATATTTATAATTTAAAAAATTGTTTGTAATCATTAATATAAGTTTACTATAGAAAAAATTTGAATTCTACATATTTTAAACTTTATAGTTTAATTTGAAAAAAAAGAAAACATAATATTATACAAAAATATGTAAAAAAAATATTAAATATGTAATAATTATTTATACATAAATTAATACATATACATTAATATATATACATAATTCCATAATATCCTGAAAATCACATATGAAGTTATTTTAAATAAAAAGAATACAAATAATACAAGTAAACAATAGAGAATTTAGAAGAAAAATTTTACTTAAAATTTATTTAATGTAATCTAAGTTCATTTCTATACAATATCGAAAAAAAAAACACTTTAAAAAAATAATTTAATTTGACTGCATTTTACAATTTAAATTTTTATAAAGGTTGTCATTTTTATAACGTGAAGAATTTTCTTCATATTACTTGCAATAATTTTTTATTCTTAATATTTAACAAATTTATTTTAAATGAAATACCACAGATCTCCAAAATAATCTATAACTTTAATTAAATTTACATGCTTAATTTTTTATTAATAACTATTTTTAAAAATAATATTATTTTATATATTCTACAATTTCCTGAGCATTTAAGCTTTACCATAGAAAACAGATCTTATAAAAATTAATATAGAGAATATTTTATAAAAACTAAAACTCTTTCAAGCAAATATTTCATACTAATACATGTTAATCATATTCTTAATTCATAAGCTGGCCCGACAAAATATAAATAAATAACAAGAAATAAAATTCAACAAGAGAACAATTTTTGTAATTTTTTTTTTGTAAAATTATGTTATAATTAAATTAAAAACATGTTAAATATTTCATGTACGGGAGATGCTAAAATGTAATCAGTGTATGAATGGCTCGCTGTTTACTGACCTACAATATAGGAAAATATTAAAACAATTAAAGTTGTCTCCCAAAAATAAATATTTACAAAAAAAAATTTTTGTATTGAATATATGAATGATATATTCATATAAAATTATAAATACACATATACATAATTAATATATTATACTAATTATATACGTATTATAAGTAAATTACAAAAATAAATATTTTAAAATAAATTTATTTTAAAGCATTTATTTTGGTTAAACAAATTATAAAAATTAATAACGATACCATTGTACATTGTTTAAAAATAAATTTAAATTAATAAAACCCAATAAATCTATATGACACAAAATAAAAGAAAAAAAAAGAAAACTATTATGAATATTGTAAAAAATGTATGTAAACAAAAAAGAAACTATGTATAATGCTATGTAGACAATATATTTAATAAAAAATATCAAATACTATTGGAAATAAAATATTTCTTTAATTTTTATATTAAAATTTTAATGTAGATCTAGCAATTTTCGTAGTACGCAGTTTGTTGCAAAAAAATTCAAGCTGTACAAAATTTTTTCTTATATTTTAGCACCAAATTAAATTTTTAATTCCTAAAATAGATAAAAAATAGAAAGATATTTTATTTTTCAAAATATTATAATATAGTTATTGGTAATGTGAATTTGGTATAGGTTTTCTCTAATAACAAAAAAATATATCGAAATATGAAATTCCAATGTTGGATGAAGGTTTTTCGCATACGCCCCCGAAACCATTTATGTATATATATACTTTACCGTTTTTTACATCTTGTTATTGCATTGTTTTATTCTTCCAAAATATTAATAACTTATTATTAATATTTTCAATTTTTTTAAAATTTCTTTTTTATCATTATATAACTGGTACAGAAACTCATCCCGCATTCGTTATCGTCCAAAATTAAAACTATCATAAAATTTCTAATTTAAATTTTATCATCGCGAGCACTACAATATTACATTTCTTAGTATGTATTATTAATGTATATTATATAAAAATTTTTTTAAATAATTTCTTATACATAATCTATAAATATAGTAATTATTCAATTTTTAGTAATGACAGCAATAACGAAATAAATGACAACGTAAATTTTCTATTTTTCTATTTTGAATTATTCACGGTAAACGATATAATAATAGCATACGTAGATACAGAAGTAATGGCAGCATTTTTCTGATAAAGTCAATGTCAAAATAAATGTCATAATTCTATACTACATGTAATTTTGACACTTAGAAAAACGTGCTCATTACTTATTGAATAGCATTGACATGGAAAATAATAAATAGAAAACTTTTTATTTTTATATTTTCTAAAAAAGATATAAACACACTTTAGACAGTTTTATTCTACGAAAATGGCCCTAGAACAGCACGCTCATCGTTCTGGACCATTAAAACAGACAAACAAAGCTCATAAAACTGGAAGACATCGTTCAAAAGGTGCCATAGATAAAGAGTTGAAAGGTAGGTGTACAAAAATATTACTGGTTAATCGTGTCAATAACTATTTTGTCTGTTTTTTTCTAAAGGTAAAGTTTCTCTAAAAGCTATAACTCGTAAACATAAACAACAGCAAAGAAAGGAACAAAGACGCAATCAAGCAAATCAGGTTTTTGACAATTTTTATTTTTCATAAAGTTTAAAATAAAAAAAATATCCTTTTAGATTCGTAAAAATAAAAGAGAAGAAGCTCTTAACCAAAAACGTCAATTAGGTGGCATTGAAACTGCACCATTTCTAGTATGCATTCTACCTTTGCACTCTCAAATCGATCCAAAATCGGCTCTTACTATATTAGAATGTTGCGATGATGATGCAATTATTGAAAAATCCCTACAAGAAATAACATATATCACTTCACCGCGTTTCAAACAAAGATTTTCTTTCATAATTCCGCCAGTTGGAAAAGGAAATGAGATTGAAATATTGGATTTTTTAAAAGTATGTGACACTGTTTTATTGCTTACATCGGCTGCAATGGGAGAAGATGATATTATGGATAGATGGGGTACCAAAATATTTAATATGATAAGTGCTCAAGGTATTCCAACTCCTATAGTTGCTTTAATGGATTTAGAATCAATTAACCCTAAAAGAAGACAATCGGCTAAAACCGCGGTACAAAAGTTCGTTAACGCAAAATTATTACCTGATGAAAAAATTATGCAATTGGATTCAAATGCTGAAGGAATAAATGTTTTAAGAAAAATTGGTCAACAAAAGAAAAATGTTTTGCTAAATAAAGCAAATCGGCCTCATTTATTTGCAGAAAAAGTATATTTTTCTCCAAAAGAAGCCCCATCAGACGACACTGGTACATTAGAGGTGACTGGATTTTTACGTGGAGTTCCACTTGATGTTAATGGTTTAGTTCATATTCCTGGTTTAGGTGATTTCCAAATGAGCCATATTTTATCTAATCCAGATCCATACAATGATAAAAATCTAAACAAAAATGAAATAAAAATCGTCGCAAAAGCAGATCCTATGAAGCAAACAAGTTTAAAAAGGGAAAATATTCCGGATGAAATGGATGCTGAGCAAACGTGGCCTACGGAAGAGGAAATCGAAATGGCGAACGAGGAAACTAAAAAAATGAAGAAAGTTATAAAACGAGTACCAAAAGGGATGAGTGATTATCAAGCTTGTTGGATACCAGATGTAGAAGAAATTGATGACGATAATGATGAAGATGAATCTGAAGATAATGAAGATTTCATGTCATGTGAATCAGACGAAAATTCGGATGATTTAATGGAAGATGCGGTAACCGAAACTGGCGAAGACGAGCAATGTGATATTGTGTCTGTATCTGAAGCGCCACTCAATGACGAAAAGTATGATCAACAGATGGATTTACAAGAAGAACGTGAAACATTGGAAAAAATAAAAGAAGCACGTGTTGATGAGATGTTTCCTGATGAAATAGATACCCCATTTGATGTACCTGCTAGAGAAAGATTCCAAAAATATCGCGGATTGGAATCATTTCGTACATCACCCTGGGATGTAAAAGAAAATTTACCTAGCGATTACGCAAGAATTTATCAATTCAAAAATTTTGATAGAACAAAACGACGAATCATATCTGAAGCAGCAGATATAGATGGTGTTATGGTAATTAAATATAAGTATTTATTGATATAATATTCATTTTAATAAATTTTTAGCCGGGTTGGTACATTACTATATTTATTAGAAACATTAATGTTGAAATTTGGAAAAAATTTATGTCTGCGCGTAAAAGTAAAGCTTTAGTAGTTTACGGAATCTTACCTCATGAACATCAAATGTCAGTAATGAACGTGCTTTTAAAGCGGATCCCAGACTCAGAAATTCCTATAAAATCGAAAGAGCGAATGATAATACAATGTGGTTATAGAAGATTTATTGTCAATCCTATTTTTAGTCAACATACTAATGGAGACAAACATAAGGTAAAATACATTTTACTTTTAGTTATTTCGTTTTATTTTAATGAATTGAATTTTATGTTTTAAAATTTAGTATGAAAGGTATTTCCGACCTCACTCTATAGCAGTAGCTACATTCTTTGCGCCAATTCAATTCCCTCCAGCTCCAGTTTTATGCTTTAAAGAGAACCCTGATTCTTCTCTAGGATTAATTGCTAAGGGAAATGTATTATCTTGTAATCCTGATAGAATTGTGTTAAAACGTATCGTGCTAAGCGGACATCCGATGCGAATACACCGTAAGTCAGCGACAATTAGATACATGTTTTACAATAAAGAAGATGTGGAATATTTCAAACCGATTAAACTACGTACAAAATGCGGACGTGTAGGGCATATTAAAGAATCATTGGGAACTCATGGTCATATGAAGTGCATTTTTGATGGACAATTAAGATCATATGATACGGTATTTTTGTATTTATACAAAAGGATATTTCCTAAATGGAATTATGAGGATTGCATTATATCTTGTGAAGATAACAATGAGAGCAAAAAAATGGAAGAATAATTAGTTTCAATAAATTCTTATTAATTTGAAAAAATTCTTATTTATTATTTTAATTATTGATTTAAAATCTTTAATAATTCCTCAAAAAATACTAAGTACACTTTTTTTTACAAGATACATTCATAATTTATTTTTAATCCATTGGCTATAACGCGAGTAATATTTATCTAAAAAGGGATTAACAATTTTAGCAACCTTTTCAGGTTCACACAAATGCACGTGATGCGTTCCGGAAACTATATTAAATGAAAAATCTGAATTAGATTTTCGCAATAATTCAACAGCACCATATATAAATTTTTTTTCTTCATGGTAACTTGTGCCTTCATCATGCGCTTTAAGTAACAGAAATGGTGATGTTATTCTTCGTGCCATTTCTTTTCCAACATCTTCTGAATAGTTAAACATTTCATTATATTTTAAGCGTCCGTCTCTGATAAAATAATATTTATTTGGAAATAGCTCAGACTTTTTTAAGTTTCTGTTTAAAAGGTATTTTGCACAATCTTTAGTAACCGATTTATAAGTTCCTTCATGTAATTTATCAACACATTCTTCATAAGTGTAACTTGGCGGCTCCTTATGAGAATCATTTTTCAAGTATAATGTCCAGAACTTCTCGGCTTGAAATCTCATTATATCAATCGAATTATTAATTAGGTTTAACTTGGTTTGAAAAGCATCTAATAGAATTAAAAATTCAACTTTTTCAGGAAAAAGTGCTGCGAAATAGAATGCAACTTGCGAACCAAGGGAATGTCCAATCAAAGCTATAGTTTTCCATTTATAGGCATTCATCACAAATTTTATAGTAAATATAAAATCAACTGAGCGATAACACATTCCGGCTGGTATTGGAGATGAAAAACCATGTCCTGGAAATTCTATAGCCAAAACACTAACATTTGATGGCAGTAAAGGAGTTAGAGTATCAAATGTAGAAGCGTTGTCCTGCCATCCATGCAATGCCAGTAGCGGCTTGTTAAGCTTCGATCCATACCATATGCCTGATAAATGACCCCAAGGAACATCAATTTTAATTTCCTCGCGCTAAAATACTTTTATTTAGTAAGATGCGCCACAAAAAATGGCAATATATTTATCTAGAATGTACCTCATTAATTTTGATATTCCTTGAACTAGTAACCATAATTTGTTAGATATTTTTGAACCTTTCTTATAAGAATGTAAAACAACCCTCACGCTCTGAAAAGTATAAGTAAGTAAATTTTAAAACACTTTTTGGACATAAAAATTGGAATTGCATAGTTAATAAAAACTAAAAATTCTTCTAAAATTTGCCAAGAACAGAATGATACCAAAAAAGCAATGAAATAGAAATCAAAATATTTAAACCAAATGAAATTCTTCTTTTCTATAGAAATTAAAAAACGCAGATTTGTCAATGTTAAACATTTATATTTTCAATCAAAGATTTCATAATTTACTTTTTGAATAATCTTCTTTTGCTGTATGGTACTTTTCTATGAAAGGATTTATAATTGCACTAATTTTCTCTGGCTCATTCAAATGAACATGATGAGATCCTTCAGCTTCATAAAACTCGAATTTTGGATTTTTTTTCATTACCTCTAGTGCTTCATCAAAATATTCTTTTGATTCAAAATAAGTTGATCCGGTACACTTAATAAACAAATATGGTACATTGATTCTTTTTGCTAGTTCCAAATTTAATTCTGGCCAAAATCCAGTATAGTTGTACGATTTCAACCGGCTATCTCTTGCAAAAAAGTATTGGTCTGGATACTTGAGGGATTTTTTAATATTTCTAGCCAAAATATGCTTACATTTATCCTTATCTATTGAATGAAAGGTTCCAACATATAATTTTTCAACTAAATCTTCGTATGTATAACTTGGTGGTTCACTTTTATCACGATTTCTCTCATCGGCAATAATAAAATTTTTCATACGATTTCTCATAGTTTCTACAACTTTATCATTTGACCTTATATGAGGCTTAAGTGCATCAAGTCCAACAACCATTTCAACTTTTTCTGGGAATAATGCAGAAAATATAAAAGAAGCAATAGAGCTCATTGAATGTCCAATAATTGAAATTTTATCCCAATTGTATTCTTTCATTAAAAGATGAAGAACTTGTAAGTTAACTGCCGAATCATACCACATGCCATCTGGTAATCTAGATGATAAACCATGACCTGGTAAATCAATAGATAGAAATGCAACATTTTGGGGTAATAATGGAGCTAAAGTATCAAATGTTCCAGAATTATCCTGCCAACCATGTAGTCCAACAATAGGACGAATATGTTTTGGTCCATACCATTTTCCGGAAACATGGCCCCATGGTACTGGAATTTCAACTTCCTCATACTAAAATAAAAAAAAAAAGTTATTTTAATAAATTCACATCTTTGGTTTATAATATTAAATTGATCTTACATCTTGTGACAGCTCATCAAGAAAAGGAATTTGGCCAGAATGCAAAAATTTTCTTTGTAGTATTGCAGTTTGATTATATTTCTTCATACTTAATTTTTTCAATATTTGCAATGGTAAATAACGTGGATTCATAATTTAATTCTAACATGTACCAAAAAGAAAATTATATGAGTAGATTCATATTGCAAACGTAGTTTTTATGTTTAGTTACAATAAAAGTATAGTTAGCAAGCCAAATTGATAAAATTGTTATAGAATTGCTCTTTTGTATCGATGATTATAAATTTACAAAATATTTTATTCCATAGGAAATCTATTGCAAAAAAATTTTAGAACGTTCGTACTCGCAATGTATTTTTGATTTTATTAGAGAAGTTATTAACTAATTTTTAAATCTGCAAAAATTTTAAGGTGCAAAATGTACATACATATATGAGTCGCTTAAAAACTAGAAAAAAAATTAACAAAATATGGTAATGGAGAAGTATACAAAAATGAATAGAACGTTTTATAACAATTAAGAAATTGAAACATTATTTTTACAATGGAAATGATTTGCAATTTTATATTTTTGTTAGTTTTAATATAATTATGTGATAACACGTTTATTTACAAAGTAAAAACAAAAAAATCTGCATGACAATTAATACTAATCAAAGTCCAAGTTCAAATCTATAGTTGGTATGTTCATTCATAACATTAATTCATAACATTATTCCTACCTTTTTATAAACGTTGCTTATGTAAATACTTAATAAATTAGTTTGTAATAATACTTAAAATATAATTTAAAAAATTCTTTTAATATTTTTTTCAAATTATAATAAATTCCCGAATAATTTAAAATTCTAATATTTATTAGACGAACAACATGACTTAACTAAATCACTCTTTATATTTTAGTTTTGATATTAAAGATTATGTGGGTTGAGTAGAGTACTAGATAGAGCATATAGAAATAGAATGTGTTCAAAAATTCTCTATCTTTATGTGCTTAAGAGAAAATATGACACACGTATTGAATTAAATAAGAAAGATAAGTTATATTTGGTGATGTAATGATTATTTTGAATGGAGATGAAAAGTATTTGAAATTTATTGCAGTAAATGGAGTAACTATGGTCAACTACTTTTGAATCATATTTTGAAATAATTTAATATAATTTAATCACAATGCATATTATTTATTTGATATATGATTTTTTTTATAATTTATTGAATTTCCTTTAAAATTGTATTTATAAATTTAAAAATTTTAATCATTTTAGTTTTTATAAAATTTTCGTTACTGCGAATAGCTTTCTTATGTTAGAAAAATTAAAATCTGTGTAATTAAATTACATTTGTAATGACTCATTAAGAAAAGGCACATTCTACTTTCTATAGTCTTGCAGAATGAAAAACATTGATATTTTAAAGCTCAACGTTTCATTCTAATTCCTATTTTATATATAAAAGTTCTCTACCGATATTATAAATACATAATTCAAAGTTTTCAACTATCGCTCTTTAGTTACAATTTATTTTGCTACAAAATTATTTTTTACTCTTACTCGTGATCCTGTGAAAACAGTTTCCAACACTGTACATATTTTATTATGCAGGTATTTCAAAATTTTTCTCTTAATTTTTTTATTTTTATACTCTTAATTTTCATATTGAAATTTAAATAGGAAAAATGTTTATAAAATAACGAAGAGATATTTTAAAAACCAAAGAAAAAAAAGAGCTTTACGATTAGGTTACCTTACCATACGACTGAACAATTCTAAAATAAAATTTCTCTTATATACCAGCTCTCGTATAATAATACGTTTATATTTTTTTAATAAATAGTTGATGTACATATATAAATAAATCTGTTTTAGAATGTACTTATGTATTACATATATGTATGTATATGTAAATATTTTATTTTCTATCTAAAGATAAACCTACGTATGTATGTATGTACAGTGTTTATGATAAAATTTTTGGTTAAACAACAATAAATTTAACGTAATGAATTTGCTTTTTAATTATTTTAATTCTTGAATACAGCATGATTATTAGTTGTACTTACAAAATTGCATACTTTGAATTTAAGCATTCTACATATTACTATATAATCAGTAGAAAATATAAGAGAAGAAAGGATTCATTGAAAATTTTCTTTGTTAAAACAAATATGATGCAATATTTTAAATTATTATAAAACTTTATTATAGAAATTATGTGTGTATGTAATTATTTCCTTACAGTTATGTATAGAAATTGGAAGGTGGAAATTTGATTTAATGTACCTTAGGATCTACTTGAATGTATGCAGTAAGAGAAAGCCTTAGGTGTTAAGTCCACATTGAAATACAAATTTAATTTGATTCTTTTTTTTTTTGGTATTATAAATTTCTTTTGTTATTTTACTAGATTTATGTGTGTATGTAGGTACATTTAAGAACATTTTCCAGCAATTTTACATTCTTAAAACATTTAGGAATATAAAATTGCTGGAAGAATATAAATTTATAACAAAAATATTCTGTTTGAGAACAAAGGATTTTCTGCTGCAGAATTTTATTGGAAATATTGCAGCATTTTATTTTGAATTTTAATAAAACTGTAAGAAATGATTATGAGCATGCTAAGTATGTATGTGTAATGCGCAAAATAATGAATAAATATTCTGCAAAATAAGAAAGAATAATTACATAAAATGGAAATCAATGAAACCGATGGTTTATGAAATGTCATATTTCCCTTTAACAGAATATTAAACTCTATTGGTAACGCTGTAAAAGAATAAATTAGACTATCTGGCTAGCTTGTTTACATATACATACATTTTTTATATATTTTCTTATGATGTACATATACTATGAAAAACTTGCATTTGCACGAATTTGGCTTTCGAATAATAACCTGGAGAATAGGATACGAAGAAATTTCGTGCTTGAAAAATAATGCTTTCACTAAGATCTATTTGCGTATTTCAAACGTAGTTTTATCTTTCAAACTTATATGTATTTTCGAACATTTTTAACATTTTAAAAATTATAACGCTATAAATACATGCAATATTATAAAAATAATAAAACAAATTTAGAATTATATAAAAATTATCCTTTTTCTATTACAGAAATTTTAAACTTTTTACGTCTAAAAATTAATTAACTTTTTCATGTTATCAACTTTTGATTTATTATATTGTAGGAAACCATACTCGTACTTATAATAAATTCTCTTAAGTGATGCCATTGTAAGCGACTTTAACGCTTTAATCCGGTAATGTAGATCTACATTAATCGAGAAAAGTAGTTGCGAACACCGCATTATTCTCAACATTTTCAAAATTTTTTCAATCTAACAATTTTTAACCCTTCAAAACTACCCTTAACGATCGAATTTCCCCCTCGATGACTATTTTTCTTAATAACATTATATTATTAAATACATAATTACTTTATGAATTTTGTGCTATAATTTTAAATTGTTCTGATTTTTTATAAATTTAAATTATGAATTTAAAATTTGTATTCCTTTTTATAATCAAATAGTGATAAATATTTTTGATGATTCCTAGACAATTTTTTTCGCAAAACTTACATGTAATATAAAGAATTTTCATATTAATATTATGTACATCGCTTCTTTATCAACATTTTTTTTTTGTGACGGCAACACTTCTCTTTATTGCTAATGCAATAATAATTATGACAAATTGATCTAATTTACTACGAGTTTACTATAGTTTGTATGTAAATAATATTAACATAATCTAAAAATATAATATTGTTATTATACAATAAATTATACAGCAATATTAATTATTATAATGCGTACGTATAATTGTTAGCAGCACTAGAAAATTTAATTTTTAATAAATTATCAAATTTTAAATAACATGCGCATTATTAATTTATAATTTGATGATAACAAATTAAATTAATTAAAAAAGTTGTACTTTAATTAATTCATTAAAATGATGATTTAACGAAAATAGATACACAAATTTTATAATATAAAATTTTCATATTGTGTTAAGTGAGATATTTTTTAGATATTCAAGCTGTTGACATAACTATGATGCTACTTCTTTGAAAATAATTAATTTTTTATTTTTTTTTTTTATCTATTAAATTTGAATAACCCACAACTTGATTATAAAAATTCATTTAAAACAGCTTAATTGATCTATTTTATTTCTCTTCTTTTCTCTTTTTAAAAAATTCAATATTATAAATCTTAAAATTTAATAAATTAAGTTCAAGTTTTTATATATGTATACGGTCGTATATTTTATAGCACAAAACTTTAATTTATAAAATATATTCTCTGTTACTATTTAACTATACGAGTATAACTGTAAACAAAATTTTTTTTTATTTTGCAAAAAAAAAAAAAAAAAAAAGCGAAACAGGTTATTTTATTTTTTCGCATCCTTTACAGTTTAGAACATTGACTTAATAAAAATTTCATTTTTATGCTTTCATTTTTATCGCTATATTTTAAATTAATCCAAAAAATTATGTTAGTATAATTGTTGTTTTGTTCAAATTTTTATAGTTTATATCTATAAATACAAACAAATTAATTGAAAAATAAAAATGTTTAAATATTGAATCAAAGTTTATAACAGTTTTTAAATCAGGAAAGTGAAAAAAATATTTTATATACATATAGACTACTTTCCACTCCAAAAGAATAGATTTCTGCAATTTGTATATTCTATAAATTTAGTCACATACTAAAATTTCGATACAAAATACTTAAATTTTGTTATACTATTCATTTTGTAAATATGCTGTTAGAAAATACGTATAGATAAAAGTGCATAAATTTACCAAATCTGTTAATTTAAGTCTATCAAACCGCATATGGTTTAAAGGAATTTCTTCAGAGGAAACGAAAAGCAAAATATGTACAAAAATAAAAGATTTTAGATCACTTTTTCTTATTGAAACGTGAAGTTTAACTTACTTAAAAAAGGTCGAAATTTGCATTTTAAAGTGTGAAATCAGAAATTTAAAAGGATCGATGATTTACCAATGTATATACATTTGCAAAATTAATAAAAAAATTGTTTATAATTAATAAAAATTGTTTATAATTAATAAAAAAATATGTAATAATGATATTATATAGCAGGGGTTCGAACCTTTACAGTTTTTGACGTAGTTACTGGGTTCAGCTTATAATAATGTATTCAAATTGAGTGCATTTTCTGTTTTGGGCTCAATTTGTTTTTACGGAGAAAAATTTTTATATAACAAGATTGTATTAAGTATATCAATATATCTGATCTGATTTAGCATTCGATTTAGGTTAAAAATTCTGTTATACACTATGTTATACAAATGTAATAGTTTATATTTCTGTTAAAGCAAATGTAATAATTTAAAAACAAGGAAATCATAAAATTTACAAATGATAAAATATGTAATGTGGTTCAAAAATAAATTTTATCCTAAATAATCTTAAGAGAATATGCAACAATAATTACAAAACGACTGCTAATTGATTTCAAAATTAAATTCTAATTATTAAAACAATATTTAACCATTAATTTAAAACGACAGCAATTATTCAATCGTTAAAATATTATTTGTAATTTATGGTACATAAATTATGAAATTTTCAAAACGCATAAGTAAATTTTTTTTTAATTGCAATATTTTAATTATTTTTAAATTAAAAAATTACCAAAACAAACAATAACATATAACAATAATCATTATAGTGGGTTAAGAAAACTCTAATTATTTAAAATAAATATTGCACAGATAGCATTAATTAAAGATATTATATATACAGGTAATAATTATATACAGGTATTTATATTTTTATTTTGATATCCTATAAATTATAGTAACACTTCAAAATCTCAATCATATATATATTTACATACATACCTATATAACGTATTTTGATTTTAATCAATCAAAATAAAAATAAAATATTTTTAAGAAATAAAACACCATCTTAAAACATTTTGATGATGGATGAATATTTCACCTTAATGACCTTTATTTATTATATTATAGTATATATATATATATATATATGTAGACATTTTTATATTGGGGAATGCTCGTTATAATGATGATAACACCTACTTTCGATTTTTATTTTATTTTTATTTTGGATTAGATTAATTGCACCAAAAAAAAAAATTTTTTTTTTTAAATTTTCATATTTAGATAGATGCGTTATAAATATTTGCACCATAAATCGTATAACAATAAAACAAATATTGGAATGCTCAAAGCTATACAATAATCATTTAAATTGAATTTTATTATTAACTTTGATTATATGGCAGTGATAATAGAAATGAAAAAAAAAAAACAAACTCAAATTAAATAATATAAAAAAGAAAAAAATTTTATGATTTTTATTTTTTATTTGAATTTCAAGAAAACTAAAAAAAAAAAACAAGAATGAGTCTGGTTTCTTCACTCTTAACATATTTATATGATTAATTACAGGTAAATCGTCGATCGTATAAATTGAATAAATCATTGACTCTAAGTAAAGTAAATATACACCAATAAGCAGTTCCAATAGCAAAAAAAAATACTAAAATTTTATATTATAGAAAAAAAATCATAAATTCAAAGGAAAACTAATAATAATATAAATTATTATAATACATGATAATAATTTATTTATCGCTTGTCGCATATTATTCTTTCAATATTAAAATATGCATATGTACATACACATAATGTATTATATTATTGACTCAAACCATAATTGTCTTAAGTCACATATTAAAAAATTTTCAGGAGAGTTAATTCTGGAAATTCTTCCTTACTTTTTTAGACATCTATTTTTCAATGTCACTACAAATGAAAAATTTTTAATGATGTCATATGATCCAAGTTGTAAGATTTATATATTTTTGTATAAAAAAATGTACATACTGCAAATAAATTTGTTGTGTTTGCGTTTGGTTTGCATTACCTTCCAACTGTCAAAGAATTTTATTTAAGTCAACCTGCATGTTTTGTGTTTATGGGGTGGTTATAATGTTATTTTAAACGTGCTACAATTAAAAATCTTAATATTTTTATAAAATTAAAAAAAATAGAACTGTCAAAAACAAATTATGTGACAAAAATTTATGACGTCTTAAAAAAAAATTTCAAAATAAGCAATGCGCGTTATTTTTGCAAAACATCAACACTGTTTTATAAGCATTGCTTATACTCGTATACTTTATTTGTGCAAAATAAATTTTGCTAATATTAGATCCCATATTATTAAGATCATTAGATCTTAAATCCTATCGAAATCAAATCACTAAATCAGTTTTTTTATATAAAATTTTTATATTATGAATGTATTGTATGTATTAATAAAAATTTGTACAGTAAAATACAACTTGCAAAAAAAAAAATTAGTTTAACACAAAATTGGACTTAGGATAATTCTGATCTTAAATGACAATACAATATAAAAGTACATTGTATAAATATAATAATATTTATTTAAAATATTTAATAATAATATAGAAATTTTGATTTGAAATAGTTAATGAAATAATTATATCGTATATCAATAAATTGTATAAAAAATGAAAAAAAAAAATTAAATTATTATGAAATTATATTGTACTTATGTACCCATGTAGCAATAAAGTTAGTCACACATAAATGATAATTGATATAAGAATTTTAAAATTTATTGATAAGTACAAAAAACTTTCGAACAATTTTGTTTTAATTGTTCTAAATACATTCATATATGCGCATATATACGTACAAGATACATATAATTATTTAAATAAACTTTTCTCATAGAATGTATGTATGTGTATCCTCACGCTGTATATAATAATGTTAGTATATTCTACGGTTCTTAAAATTGATGTTTTCTTGATCAGCAAAGTGATTCCTAATTAATATTAACCTTGATATGTCATTCGAAGAAATTAAATATAACAATAAAAATTAAAGTACCCCAGTTCTAAATGTTATAAATAGTATGAATTTTTATATAACAATTAAAATTTTGACAAATCAAAAGCTAACGGTATTTTTTTATAACGATACGGTATTGAAATTGCATGGTGAATTGTTATATTTGTTTTTGAATTAATGAGCCCTAGAGACGCATTATGTATAGAATTTGTTTAAATAAAAATAATAAACAGAATCGCTATATAATTTTCAATAATAAATTGAAATTGGATTTCTTAATTTTCACTTAAGTTTATATAATAATGTTGATTATCAAAATATTAAGCTAATCATTTTACAATAGCCTATATATTTAAAATGAAGAACAAACGAAAGTTAAAAAAAATACTATGTACATACATATATCATATTATACAAACAGTTCATTATTATACAACTAATTATACAATTATATATGTACATACAGTAGTTTATAATAGCTTCTTTATAAAATTTTATCAGAGTCTGGCACCAATAGTTTATATAAGCCATATAGGATAGTAATTTTTAAATATTATCAAAAAAAAAATTATCGCAAAAAGATTAGATAAATTTCTCAAATTAAAATTAATTTTTAATTTTTTTTTATTATCTACACACACATTACGTATATACACACATGTGAATTTTTATTTGCGAACTAATAAAAATTCCTATAATTATTATACGAAATTTATTCAGAATAATGGAATAAGAATTGATTTTGTTCTGCTGAAATACATACAGGAGTATTCATTTCTTTTATATTTCTAATTGTTATACTAGTCAGTCCATCGTATTTAATTTCTCAATGTAAAAGAAACATGTGATAGGTTGAGTTTATGTTGGCAGATCTTACTTAGATTTGAAAATGTATAGTACGTTTTTGTGACAAAACTGCAAAGTGCAAATCGTTTTCGTGTAAAGAACTTGAAAGTACTTACTCTCATATTGTCAGCAGAAAATTAATGATGCCAATAATCAGAAACCGACATAACCTAAAAATACAATTGGACGAGTGAAGATGGAGGAATCTATGTTAGTTAATATTTTAACTATTTTAAATAAATTTTAAAGGCATTATTTAGTTTCAAAAATTTATTGTCATTTATGCAATGCTATCAACTTTTTATAAAAGTCGAGCTAATTCCTTTAGTTTTTAAATTTTCTGCTTTAGAAAAGCACTGCCAGAAGTAGAATTAAGTTTTAAGAATCAACTCAACCATATATTTTAATTGTAAGGTTTAATAACAGAGATTGCAAATAGTTTTGCAATCAACATACCAAGTAAAACTTGAGAAAACATTACTCTCAATACTAATTCTCCAGTTAAAATCGTGTATACCCCTATTGTGAGGTATTCTAACTAAGTTCTTTTAACGTTTACACAAATTAATACTAAATAATAGAATTTCCTGCTAAACCAGATCCTTATTAGTCTTATCACCTTATTAGTCACTTCAATATTAATTAATTTCGATTTAACTAGTTTATAAAATAGAAAATATTCTTTTTTACATATTTTTGGAAAGTATAATAAAAGTTATTGTAATTATATTTTTAAATAATCTAAACTCTATTAATTAATTAATTTAATTTTTTAGCAATCAACACCTTCAACAAACAATTAACAAAATTTATTCTTAACATTCCTACGCAAAAATAAAAATTTATATTAAACCCAAACATAAACTGTTCAAACATTAAAAAAATAAATACGTATGTGTATGTAGTATGTGAGTATAATTTGCACAAAAAATATTATAAAAATTTATTTAAAATTAATAAAAAAAATTTTAATACCCTCTAAATATAAATTTGATTTTTTTTTTTATATTATACCTTATATTTATTTACCATATATTCCGAACCAATATAATAATTTTTTAAACTTAATTAATCAAAATTTTTACGAGAATCCGCTTATGTTACTTTAAATATGCATGATTTATTTTATTAGTTTACCTTGTTGTTTACCTTAAGGTATGATGTAGATAGAAGAATTCAAATTAATGAAAGTATAGGTACATAATATATATGTATGTATGTGCCTATACATATTTGGGAAAAAATTAAAATTTTTATATTCTTGTTATGTCCAGTATATAATATGAAATAAATACCCGGTTTTAATTAAAATTCTTTAATTACTATTTTAACCCTTTGATATCTTAGTTTATTTTCATTGGATATGCAATTAAAAAATTATGATATTTCCTGTCGGTTCACTTTGTTTGCCGTTAATACTACTTTCTTGCTTGACTACTTCCTTTAAGGGAACTTCGAATTTCACTGATGGATTACAAAATGTGGTGTCTCACAAAAATTATTTCTTCCACAATGTTCTACAAAGTTCAACTTACAGTTATCGCCATGGATATAGTTTTGATACCTGAAACATATTACGTACACAAACTAAAATAATCTGATCTTCTCTTGTGCAGATTTTATTAGGTCAAAGTCGAAACTGCAAAAATCGTCCTTTGTTATAACCCGAATACTATGGTTATCCGGTAATGCAATTGTTTTCGTAGTATAAAGGAACTACTATTCAATTCTCGATCATAGAGGTATTATAGAGAATATAGGGATCGCGAGTAAAAATTAAATATTGAGGCGGGCCCTTAGCTCCTACAGTCAAACCAAATTTCTGTTGCTTTAAAATTAATTCATATTTTTTACCTTAATAAAAAGTCGAAAAACTTACTTCATATGACGTACGATCGCAAATGAATTTCTTACTTAAAAAAGTTTATTACAGATATTCAGAAGAAAAGAAATACAAATACTCGAAAATGAATTCATAAGGTTATCAAGGTATAAAATTTTTTAAAATATTCACACATTGCAGGTTGTTTTTTTTTTCTGGTTATTCCTGAGGTCGTAAAAAAAGTTATAGTGCCTACTCATGAAATAGAATAAAACGTAAAATTTAGAACCAGGATGGACATTGTATTTGGAATCACAAAGTTTTAGCGTAACTCCTGCAGCTTTATTTTTTAATTAAACTTGTTAACTGGAGTTAAATAATTTTAATTTATTTTATTTTGTTTGTGAAAAATTTTTAACAATTTTTTTAATTTTTAATTCAGACATATGCTTGCAATTCTAACTTAAATCTTAGAAATCTTTTTTTTTTTTGCATTCTTAAAAATCTAAAGAAACTAACAACCAATTTACTTTTTTCAGCATTAAGTGATTGTTCTACAGCGATGACATTTACTAAAAAATGAATTTTCTTTGATCATTGAAAATTAATAGTTAAATGAAAATTGTTAAAAATTAAAAAATCTTTGCTACAAAAAAAAAACTGCTGAATCATTTTAAGTTTCAGCAAAGAGTTAACGTATTTTAAATAAATTCGAAAATTCAAGATAAACTATTCCTTATATATGAACTATTAACGGGAATAATGAAAAAAATATTTATGCTATATTTACAGTTAATATCAAAATTTATTGAATCATATATAATTATGTTAATAGTATATATGTATGTATGCAGGGGCTCTCAGAGAAAATTCGAGGCAACTGATATTTAGAGGCCCTGAATTTTTTTAAATAAAAGCAATCTTTTAATGTTTAGTTTATTTAATATTATTTTTAATTATTGCACAAAGGCTTTACGTGCTTGCCCATCAGCAAATTTATACCGAATAATCTAAAGAACGTGCTTTTTCATAATTCATGTTTATAATTACTAGTCCATTTGGTCGGTCCAGGATATTGTCCATAAAAGGTTTTAGTAGTAATTCAACTTTTTTCATGGTGAAATATTTTGTATAAATTATTGAGTTGTCAATTTAAGCTCCATTCAGATAGTGAGGCCCAGGACAAATGTCTTCTTGTCCGCTCCCCCCTTCCTTCGATAAATTCTACATGTATGTATGAACATTAATATTACAAATGTGATTTCAATGAAAATTTAGCATTAATTGCAAAATCTTAAAATACAAAATTTACAAAAATATTAAAATTGTATTTCATTTAAAATAATATTTCTTTAATATCTAAATATTTGCATGCACTAATAATTGCATTAAATAAATATAGAATTAAATATTTTCAATAATTCATGCAATTTCCTATACAAAATGCACACAAGAAAATCAATGAATTGTGATGGAAATCACAAATATTATTAAAAATATTTAATCTATTTTAAATTCATGTTAAATTGCATATATATATATATATGTATATTAATAGTATTCATCTCAAAATAATTAATAATAATCCTTTAAATTTTGGGTACATATAGAATAATACAAAAATAATATATATGTATATATAAAAAAAATAAAAAAATAAAACAAGAAAAATTCTATTCAAAATAATTGCTGTATAAAGATCACACCTTTTTGAACAAATATAAAAGAGTTAATAAAATAAACACTTTAAAAAAAAAATTATATTATCCAAAATTAAATTATTATCATACATACATAAATAAATAATAAACTAGAATAATTCATCAAAATTAAAAAAAAAAATAAAACAAAAAAACTTTCTAAAAAAAAAATCTTCACATTTTCCTTAGTAAGGTTCCCGTTTTAGTTAAACCTAAACAATCTAAACATACCGGTTTAACTATTAATCTATATTCTAGATTAATATTACTAATTTTTTTTTTCTCTTCTATCTTTTTCTAACTACAAATATACTACCGTATATCTTTTAGTAAATCTTATAAAAAAAACTTCTTTTATCTATAAAATATTTCATAATGTTATACTGATATATATACTTTTATATTATTATACATTTAATAACACCAAATATATAAATCTACTTTTAAAATCAATTATAAGCAATAATTAGTAATAAATATGTATATATATATATATATATAAAAACTTCACCTTACTTTTAAAATTTATACCATAATTTAATCATATGTAGTGCTTATATTAATAAATTTTAATTTAAAAAAAAAAATTTCTATATAAACTAAAATAAAGTATATTATGGTTAATATTAAAAAAATATATAATAGCCTGATATTACAAATATACAAAAATTTTCAAGATGCGTGGTTTACTTTATTATACGAGTATCATAACATACTCGTATACACGAGTATAATTTTTGCACATATACATACATTCTCTTATTTATTGTATAGAGGTAAAATTCACCTATATCTTCCCTAATAATTACCAGTTTGACCTTAAGAAATCTTGTTGCTTATTTTTATAGATTTACTTTTAAAAAAAATTAAAAAAAAAAAACTGTTTCGATAAAATGCCGGCTATATTATTATTATATTTAGTTATAGTTATATACTTTATGTATTTTAAATATACTTTTGGTTGACCATAAAGAAGAAAACCCCAAAAAAAAAACAAAAAACAAAACAGCATTAAAGTATTTTTGCTTTAAAGGCAATTTTTCAATATAAAAATGACATGTTATCCAATCAATTTAATCATATCTTCTTAAGAAATTGCAGATTCAACATCTTAAAAAAATAACAACAACAACAAAAACCAAAAATTCAAAAATGTACAAAATTGTAAGTTTTTAGCCTAAAACGAAAAAAAAACGAAAAAAAAAAAATAATAAAATAAGTGAAAGTAAATTAAAAGGTAGACCATAATAATTTTGGGTGCTCAAAATTATGTAATAAACTCCAAAATTATTATTATTTTTACTATAATTGTAAAATTTTAATTTTTTAATTTTTTTTTTTTATTTTTTTATTTTAAAGATTGCTCTTACCGTTCTTTTGGGATTAGTTACTGCTGATCATATCAATAAAAATGCTGAAGTAAAAAGTCTTGTTAATAATGTTCCTGGTGATGGTACATACGCATATTCATTTGATTCTACAAATGGTATTAGTATACAAGAAAGTGGTAATGCTGATACTAAATCTGGATCTGCTGGATGGGTTTCACCTGAAGGTGAAAAAGTCCAACTAACTTATACTGCTGATGAAAATGGTTATCATCCACAAGGTTCTCATATTCCAGTTCCACCAGAAATACCAGCTCATATTTTAAGAGCTTTAGAATATATTAGAACTCATCCATCAGCAGTATAAAAAAAAAAAAAACAAACTAAAGGAAGAAGATATGTACATAAATATTATAAATGAATAAAAAAAAAAAAATTGTGGATAAATTTATTGAATTTTGGCTGAATTTTTGTTTTTTATACAATAATTGTTCATTATTAGTAAAAAAATACAAAAAAAAAAAAAAAACAAATATAGGAAATTGTTAAAAAAAAATTTTTGAAAATTACTATTTAATTTCCATAAAATTACTAGAAAAAAAATTATGCAATCATTATCGAAATATTGAAAAATTTTGATAATTGAATAATAAATTTTACCTATCATAAAATAATTATTAAAATAATGGGATTTGCGAATTTAAATTTCCAAACAAATCTGCATGCTTTGTGCACAAATCTGCATCAAAATTTAATTAATCCAATGAAATTTATAATAGCATTATTAAAACTCTTTGGTTCTTACAAATGTTCATTAGCTATTAGTTCAAGTTATTATTTAAAAATAATTTAAAGAGTTACATCGAAGAATTTTAATTTCACTCATACATTTTGAAAAAGGGATACAGATATCTAACGATGGTGATATAAAAATTATAATATTACATAAATAATATTAATAATACATACTAATCTACTTTATTATAATTATTTTTCTTCACTTTCATACTACAATTATCAATATTTCTCTAATCATATGGGTTGCCTCGAATTACTTGACATTGTTTTCTTTCTTTGACTCTTGTCCTATTTGAATTTGTCCGATTTTATTTATGTGTTATGTTCATTATAAAAAATATGAAATGAAAACATGTATACCAATGTACATATATAAAATATCTTAATAAAATCCAATACAATCTCTCAAAGTAGTTATTCAAGAACGCAATCATTAATTAATACTAATGAAATATTGAATAAAATGTATTTTTGTTAGCTTAGCAAAATTATTGTACAAGAATATGAAATATTTTTTTTTTTTGCAAAACTAGTTCAAATTTTTAAAAAATTAGCAACTTTTTTTTTTAATTATGTGCTCGAAAAATTCAACTTTGATTCGTAGTAGAAAAATTTACCTTCTAAAACATGATTTTCCTAAAAAGTTTATAAATTATTTTTGTTACTTAAAATATTAAATTTCAAGAAATTCAGTTTTTTCTTTTTGTTTTATGATTAAAAATGAAATTTCTGCAACTAAACACTCGGAAAAGTTTTTTTTAATCTATTATTTTCTACTACTAAGTTAATAAATACCAGTATAATACATACATTTCAAGGAAATCTTTTGAATATTCCTGTATATATAGGCAAAAATATGAACACGATCCTTAGTTAATATCAAATAACTGGCATCTGAATTATCCAATAATTGTTTTGCTTGGTTTGCCATATTTTCCAAACAGAGGTCATATATAAAATTTGATGAAAATATGTACATAATTTTAATATTTTGTAGTAGTAATCCTTAAATATGTTAAATTAATCATATCGTCCTAAAAATGGTTTATTATCCGCTGTGATAGCATGAAAAAATGCATTTTCGTTGGAAACTCAACACAAATGAATGTTAAGAAATAAATTATAATAACTTATTAATATTTTAAATAAAACAAATTGTTAATATTTATTTTTCTCCATCTCTTTTCTATTTCCGCTTTCATTAAAATTTTAAACTGAAAAACAAACTTAATTTGATATTGTCAAACCAAACATTAGAATAATGCTTGCGTCCTAAATTTACTTAAATCTGTTTTTTTTTTTATATAATATACTTATATATATATATACACATATATATTATAGTTCATGTTTATTAAAAATATTTAATAGACAAGACATATATATATACATGTATATATTAATGTATGTACGATATATTATGTATTTCATGTTACATAACTAAAATATTAATAAATTTTGTTATTTATATTAATTTTTGTATGCATTTTCGTTTTTTTTTTATTTTTGTTTTTTTTTTTATTTTTGTATTAATTATGTATTTTTGTTTACTTTCTTATTTTTTTTTGTTGGGTTTTAAGCTTTTCTTTTTTCTTTTTTGTTTTGAAAAAACTTCCTAAAATATATAAATATTATATATGTATACATATATTTATATAAATTTATCCTAATATAAGATGATATAGAATATAGCATTTTAATTAAGAAATCAAGTGCTACAACAATTTTAAATAGATAACTTACTGTTCTGATGTATACAACTATTTTAAATAAAATTGAAACATTACAAAATGGAAGGTGAGATTGTTTCTTGCTCATGAGCTTAACCGTTTTGGGATTAATTAACTTTTATTTTTAAATTTTGAAAAATTAATTTGAAATTTTCAATTATATTTAAATTAAGTTTTAAAACAAAGATTGATTTTAAAACTATTTTTATAATTTCGTCAAATTAAATAAAACTAAAAATGTGCTTAGTGCGTTCAATTTATCTATAAAAAATATTTTTTATGAAAAAGTACCACATAATTATATTAAAATACATTTCGTATTAAGCATGCATTCTTTTTTACTAATTATAACTCTGGAAAAATAAATAAGGATCAATTTTAAATCATAAAATCATAATAAATATGAAAATATTTTAAGTTTTGTAATAAATATTTAAAGAAGAACTGAAAGTGATCTTATTTTAAGATCTTATGAAAAAATTAAACCGGCCTACATCTCCTAAATCAGAAAATCACCTGTAAACTTTTAATTTTAAATTAATCTTTTTTTTTTCATTCTTTTTTTTATAAATAAATTACAAAAAAATATTTAATTAAAAAAATATTTTATACTTTTATTGAAAATAATTAAGGAAGTTTTATAATTACAAAAAAAAAATCCAATTAAGACGTTAAACATATAAGTAAATATTTATCATTTTATTTATAATTTTAATTAATAAAACTTTTCATACATTATATTAATTTGTTTTTCCATAAAATTTTACTTTTTACGTTTAAAAACTCTTACATTTTTTTAGTTAGACCACAATTATACTATTGATTTATTTAAGTTCCTTTTTAAAAATAACAAAAAAATTTTATTTAATAACACTTTTTAATTAAATTGCAATTCCATATTATTTGGATTCTAATTAGGAGAAGTAATTCGGTTTATTAAATATATAATTTTTTGGAAATTGATAAGATTACCCCAAATACTTCTCTATTTTGCTCAGTAAGAAACATTCAAATAAAATTTAGGTTGGTTTTATTTTGAAATAAAAAAAAAAAAATTAAAACCTGACACAAGCAAATTTTCTTGGGTGTATTTTAATTTTTATTCGCTAAAATCTTTATTTTTTATTAATATTCATTTATTTAGATATTACTTCATTATTAATTCTTGTTACTTCACTCCTCGAATTAAGAAAAATAAAAATATTTTTTTTTTATTTTGTCCTAAAATAAAACTATTATCAAAGGTTTATTTTTCATTAAAATATTTATTTTTTTTTCGATATTTTTGTAAGAATTGAAATAAAATTAATTTGTTTTTTTTTTTAACTTTTTTTACATTTTAACTAAGATATCATATTTCTTATTTTCAACTCTATCGCGTTAATGGTTTTTAATTATTTTTTTTTTTTTATTTAATTTTGCATTTCAATTAAGACAAGTTTTTAAAATAAGATTCTTAAATACTAAGAATGTGAATTATTTTTTTTTATTTTTATTGAATAATAACTTTTTACGTTCAAAACAGTAAAAATATTTTTAATTATATGGTAAAAACAAAAAAAAATCTAATATGAACTAAATAAATCTTATATATAAAGAAAAAAAAGATTTTTGAACGTTTTACTCTTGTTTTTGACCAGGTTGATGCATTAAATCTTCTAAAGCAAAAAATGTTTCTCCGCTTGTACCACTATTAACAGCCGCGCTAGCTTGAGCGGTAGTTAATGATTGGGTTGTAATTGTAGTTTGTCCCGTTGTAATATGACTACTGTCATCTGCTTCTACTTGACCTTCTGCTACACTTTCATGATGATGTTCAATTCCACCTGGATGTGCTGTTACCACTTGTTGACCATCTGCTGTATACGCTACTGAAACTGGAATACGTACACCATCCTCACCAATTGCATGGGTAGCTTCACCTTAAATTAATAGTTTTTCGCCAATATTATTGCCAGTTTTTAATAAATACGATAATATTATGTGTTCAATATTTATATTTTAAAATTACCAATATCTCCATCTCCTTGTTGTTGTATAACAATATGCCCATCTGCATTTAATAAAGAAGCATCTATTAGCTGAGGTCCTTCATCTCCTTGAACTATTATCATTTGATTATTTTCACCCTGAATCATTTGTAAAGTTTCGCCATCCAAACCATCTCCACTATGTAAAACGCCAACACTTTGCAACAATTGTTGAATTTGTTCGGAATCTGTACCCTGAACTAAAATTTGATTTCCCTCTGCATCAGTTGTAATAATATGATTATCCAATTGAATAATTTGACCATTCTCATTTAAAATAAATTTAATTTGGCCGCTTTCGGCATTATGAATGTCTTCTAATTCCATAGCTACTTGATCTGAATTAATCATATGTTGTTCTTGATGCTGCGAACTGTCTTGACTTTCTTGTGGATGTTGAGATTGTTCGGACTGTTGTTGCTCTGTCGGTTGCGTTTGTTGCTGTTCTTGTGGATCTTGTTGTTGTTGGTCAGTTGCTTGTTGGTTTTCTACTGCTTTTTGCTCTTCAGAATTTGTATTATTATTAGATTCAACAGAGCTAGCTGACGGCTCAGCAGTTGATTTTGTCGCAGTATTACTATTGACTGACGTTGACACATCAGTGTCATCGTCCAAACTAGGCATGCTTACAGGACCAGATGAAACCGACATTGATTTTTCTACTTTTTTACTACCATTTTCATTCGTTGCCCCTTTTGCGTTTGTGTTCTCATTTGAAGCGTCTTTCTTCACTCCTCCGGAATTAGATTTATCATTTTCTTCTTCCGGTTGATCTAAAACAGGCATTGATATACCCACAGTAATATTTTCAGATCTTGATTTCTCATCTTCCGTTTTAGTTGTAGCCTACAATTTAAAAGCAGATATAAATTTATCGTCTATTTTGAAAACTAAACTATTTAAAAATTAATTACCGATGCATTTTTTGGAATTGTTACATTAAACGTAATACTACCAGTAGCATTTTCCTGACTTGTTATAACGAAGCCTTCACTGTTTGTTGGAGCTGAGGGTGCTATTGAAGATGTTGTTACTGTACCACTTGCTGTAGTGTTTACAACTTCATTTTCTGATTTATCCGAATGCAATTTTTCAAATATACTTTCTATGTCGGCCTCTAAAATTGCATTATTATTTATTGTGGTAGTCGCTGATTGTATTCCATTTCCACTTGTAGTTAATAAATTGCTACTGGCTTTATTTACATTCACACCAGAAGTTCCCGGATTTGTATATGATGAAACAGAAACTACTGTACCACTGTTAGTGCTGCTGTTACTGGTGCTTATATTATTACTCGTAATTTTTTTGTCTTGTTTATGCGTTTCCATATGTTGATTATAGTATGTTTCTTGAATAAAAGTCAATGAACATATATTACATGAAAAGAAATGAATTCCTCCTTTCGAGTCTAAATTTTCGGATTCTCGTAAAGCTTCGTCTATGGTTTCTTGTAATAGCTTTTGTGTAGTGATTGACTGTTGCTGTTGTTGCTGCTGCTGCTGTTGTTGTTGCGGTTTTACTTGTTGCTGTACTGGTTGCATTTTTTGTATTTGTGGTTTTTGTTGCAAACTTGGAGTTGCGTTTATATTACTTATTGCAAGCCCCTCTTTATGTTCATGAGTTTCAAAATGTTTTAATAACGATTCTTTTTGTGAAAAAGAAGCAGAACATGAACCACATTTAAAATAATTAGCCTGATGAGATTTTGCATGTATATTCGCTTGCTCTCTTGTCTCAAATCTTGTTGAACACAATCGACATTTGAATGGTTTTAACTTAGCGTGTCTTTTCACATGTTCTTCGTATGCGGTTTTATCAGCTGAAGTAAATGCGCACATATTACAAGTAAACAGTTGTGTCACTACAGGCTCATTAACTGGTTTCATATCAGGGTGATTAATTTCTAAATGCTTCTTAAGTGTAATCTCATTTAAGAAGTTTATGTTACATATGTTGCAAGTATACTCTGTAGGATGCTTCTCGGCTATATGTTGTCTTAAGGCTGGTAGTGTGGAAAATGACCTTTTACATGTTTTACAGGTATACCCATTTTGTTGTTTGCATGTTTCATAATGAGGTTGGAATTGTTTTAAATCTATTGTTTTAAATTCGCAGGACATGCATTTATATATCTTAATAGGACCTAAAACCAAAATGTTTATTGAGGCTTGTTGTTATTTATATGCATATAATAATTACCTTTCTTTTGCTGCTCCTGTGCAAGTTGTTGCTGTCTTAATTGAGGCGATATTATTTTCATTTGTTGAACTGGTCCTTGCTGTGGAGGATGCTGTGGTTTTGCTGTTTCAGGACTATTTCCCTCAAATAAATTGGATAATTGGTTCTCAATTGGATCTCTAGTATTAATTGTAATTTTTCTTGCTTGACTACTATTATTAGTATCATCCTCAACCAATTTTCTTGCAGTTATAGCATTACCACTATTTAATTTTTGCAGTTTAACTGGTGGTGAACTAACATTTGTATTCCCATCATCCGAAAGGCTATATTTTCTATACAACATATTTAGTATATTTTGTTTTACCCTTTCTATATCATTTTCTAATCGATCTAAATGATTAATCATAGTTGTGCATCTTTTGCATAAAACATCGTCAACACTAATGATAACCATAAAAGCATCACCGACTATTTGACCAATCTTATTTGGGAATTTGGTACTTGAACTGGATGTAATGGCATCATTGAGAATGGTACCATTGTTTCCAGCAGGTTCATCGCAGACGTAACACCGCGAACTTATAACATGCTGTTGTTGGTTTTGAGATTGTTGTTGAGGTTGCACGACGAATTGCTGTGGTTGGCTATTATGTATTGGTGTTTGAACAACTTGAATGACTCCAGCCGAGCTTGTTTGGAATTTTGGTTGAGGCTTTGTTATCCTAGATTGATTTGGACCCGTCACAGTGACAGCGCCACTTGACAATAAATTATGAATTTTTTTTACAGCATGCATTTGACTTTCTTGTTGTGCTGTTTGATTATTTTGTACATTAGGGTTGTAAACCTTAAATAAAATTTATTTATTTATTTCACTTCACTTCATAAATAATTAATTATAATTCTATCAATAAAAATCATTTCAAGTATGTATAAATATTTTTCATAATAATTGTATAGTTAAACACGGCGTCCTCATTTTAATTTTGACGCTGCTGTCGTTTCTTTTTTGATACATCATAACCCTGAAATTTTAATATATTTCTCTTTTTTCACCACATGCTATTTAACAAACAGTGAAAGAGACAGTTATATGAATTGCCTGCCTGATGGCTGCACTGTCCAAAACTGAAAAATCACATTCCCTCCGCTTAGTTCAGCGCCAAAATATTTTTTATTTCATACAAATTTTTTACATTTTTATAATTAAATTTTATTCACTTTACCTTCCTAATATTAGTTTGAAATACTTTTTTCATAGTTGCGTTAATTTAATGCGCCTAAAGCGCCCTTTATTAGCAAATAATTATTAAAATTTTTAATGAAAAAATCGCAACACTGAATAATACGTATCTCAATCCCATCCAAGTACTCCTCTCAAACTGAATACGAATTTTTAATGGCGACTGCAGTGGTAACAATTTCAACAGTATGTCAATATCTCTTTTCTTATTTTTATTATTTTATTTAAAAAATTTAATTATTAATATTTTTCTTAATTATAACAAATTAAAAAATAATTTATTAAATGTGGACAATATGATTATTTTGATAAAATTGATATTTTATATCTTTATTGGTAATATTTCCGGCAATACGTCATCAATTTTAAGAGAATCTTTTGCCTATGATGGTGAAAAATGAGAGTAAACACTTTATATACAAAGTATATAAGGTCGGGTTCAAAGATAAAAGTACGACGTCTGAAATTTAAAATTACCTGTAAAAATTCATTATATACACATAGTTCGTTTCAAAGGGTGCGTCATTTTATCAGGTAATATGTAATTTTGGCAAAGTAAAAATTACCGTACCAACAGTTAGCTGCAAATAGCAAGTGCAATCAATAATTATTAAATTAATTTTGTAATAGTAAGTTATGTTAAACATAGGCTTCACAGCAGCCAATTTTTTATTTTTGTAAATTGATTTAAATAAGATTCTGGCTATAAAAATTTAAGATTCTGGATTATAAAAAATATTTGGTCTGTTGAATCGTTGGAACTAAGTGCATTTCAAAAGCTAAAAATAGAACTAATTGTTACGTATATACATATGTATGTATGTGAATTAAAGTTTTTAAAAATCGATCTCAGACCGATAGAAGTATGTACATATGTATGTACGTATATGGATAGCAACTACATCTTATATGTATATGTATATAAGTACATGAATTAGAAAGAAAATAGACAAAATCCTGAAGGAGAGTAATATAAGATGAATGGTTAATTAAGCACATAAAAAGGCATTATTTATTCAAAAAAAAAAAATTTGTATTTACATATTTATTTTCCAACCACCAATATTTTTATATGTCAAAACTATTGCGATATGTGTTGATTTCCACAAAAAAAAAAAATTGGATTTTAATATTTAAGCGCGATAGATGCCGCAGGCTCAAAACATGCCTACATATATATTTACATTAGAACACATTAAAATACTGTGTTCCATAATTATATGATTGCATAACAATTGCAAGAAAAATATCGAAATCTAAATTTTTTTTTTTTGCATTCCCGTACTTAAAGTAGAAAAATACGTCCGCTAGTGCAAAAAAATTAAAATTTCTGATAGTCTGTTGTAATTAATCATTCTGTAAAAATTACTTTTTGGTTTATACGAAGATTCAATATTTACAAAACAGTAGCATACAAACACAATCAAAGCTTAATAACAAAATAATATACGCTTTTCAACTAACTAAAAAAATTTTTACCACAGTTGAGTCCATAATATGATAATTGCTATTTCTTCTCTTAAAAATTTTTACATATGTATATTTTGTCGAATCTGTTTCCATTTTCTTGTGTTCTCTTACTTTTATTTTCTACCTACGCTCTTAAATTTCTCATTTCTTTTTCAATTACAACACAGAGAGCAATTTTTATTACGTATTATTATTTATCAGTGCTGCAAACTCTATTTTTTTTTTTTGAAGATTTATAAAATTTTTATAAATTTTAATTTATATAATGCATATGTTTGTACATAATAGTTAATTTCAAATTAGAATGTATATTATATATGTATGTATATAATATGTATATGTAAAAAAATCATAAATAAAGAAAAAGGATCTTGATTTTCATTATTTTGTTCCTTTTTGCAGTTTGTTTGTTGTTTTGTCATGCTGAAATTGAACTCCATGTTTTATTTACATAGTTTCAGCATGACGCGAAAAAGAAAAAAAAAAGTATGTAAAAGAGCGTACAGCATCGCACAACGAAGCATCGCTAATTATAAAAGCAGAACCACAGCGGTGAGCTGCAACCGTCAACGATTTCCGTTTTCAACCTGGAATTTCTAGTAATTCTAGTTTTGGTATTTAAAAAATAATGTTTCGCATATGTTGTCAACAAATTCGTTCTTATTCTGTTAAAAATGTCTAAAAATTTTTTTTTTGAAAAAGAAAAAGAACACTCAGAAAATGCTAAAAATTTGGGTAATTCGGATTTACAAACGAAATATATTTGCGCACACATGTCCTCAGTGCATGTAAGACGAACTTTTTTGATAATTTAATACGTTTCGAAACTTACATAATGAGCGTACATAATTATTGCATAACATGATATACATTACACCCTCGTTATCTAGGACAAGGACACATTACTAGGTGTGATATATTATCTATACAAGAAATTAAAATAGTTTCCAGTTGTAATATTGTCGTTATACAAAATTTCATTTTATTATAGGTACATATATACAGACACACATCATACATAATAAATATGTTTAAATACACAATCACTCAAAATTTATAGTATTTGTTTTCATAAGTAATATACGTAAATCTAAATTACTATGTATTTAATATGGTTTTATTTTCTGTATTTAATCTTTTTCTTCGATTCCGCTTTTCTTCCTCAAACTCCTCAAAATGTTCCTTTCTTTTATGATCAGCTAAGTTTGAATTGAACTTAAATAGGCGATCACAAAAAGGACATTTAAAATTATTTTCACCTGTATGAACGGGCATATGTTGCGTTAATAATTCTTTCGATTTAAACGATTTTTTGCAAACAGTACATGGATGAGATTTTGTTAAGCGATGAACCGTATATACATGTTTATAAAGTGCTCTGCGGTTTGGGGATTTTTTACCACATGTTGGACATATATGATCCATATTAGCTTCTTCATGATTTTTGATATGAGTCTTTATATACTTTTTGTCAAAAAATAAATTACATATATGACATTCCACTTTTTTGTTACCAACATCTGAATGTTTTCGCATGTGTTCATGGAAATGATCTTAAAAACATTTTAAAAAATTAAAATTAACAAAATCTTAACAAATAATTAATACAACGAACCAGAATTTAAAATTTTTCCACATGAGTCACAAACTTTGATTTTTATTTTGTGAACACGGTGTATATGACTATTTAATTTCTCACGATTTGGATATCTGAAAATTTAAAAAAAATTTATAAGCCATAATTTTCAAGTTAAACTAAGGGTAAAAATATGCCTGTATGTGGTTCTTAAGAATTTTGTAAGAATAAATATAAAGCTGAAAACTTAAGTTTATAAAAAATAGGATATTCAAATTAAATATGAGGCATTAATAACGTTAATACATAAAAGTAAATAAAAGTAAATTTTTTAAATACGTTTTTTTACAATTTTATATCGAAAATTTCCTTTGGTCGTTCGCTAATTGGGCAACGTCATCATTTGCTCTCGTTTTTTCTCAAAAAGTATTATACCCAGACGCTTTACATACTTTTTAAAAATTTTCTTATACCAGACAGACCTTATAATTTGTTCTACTCTTTTCAACTAATTAGTGAATACAATATCATTATGCTACAGCCGGAGACACAAAAAAACGCACTGAATATCTAGCAAACTGATGGATTGTGAATTGAGCAAACGTACTGACAAAATAAAAACAAAAATTGTTTCAGATACAATGTTGCCTAAATTAAACACAATTTTTTTTTATTTTATGATAATAAGTTGTACACATATGTATAAATACATCTTGAACAATTTTGTTAATAATCAGTTTACAATCTACATTGCACCTACATACATATGTAAGTATTTTCGAGTAATATCCGATTTACGTTTTAAAAACAAATGAATTAGTACTAAATGACTTAGTTTATTCATCCATTTAGGATATTGAACTTTGATTTTTTGAATTAATTAACGAAAATTAACATAGCACTAGAAATGTACTCAAAAAATGTAAGGTTTACAAAAATTATTAAGCAAAAAATAATTTAAAAGGTAAATTCTTGATTTATCTTCATTCATATAAATTTTTGCACAGATAACAAATTTTCTTCAACATGGCTTAAAATTCGTTTTAAATAAAAGATTAAATTCAACTTTAACAGGAGGACCAAGTTTTAGATTAACTGCAGAACAGACTGAAATAGTAGAATTAGCAAAGAAATTTAGTAGGGATGATATTGCACCTGTTGCATCTCATCATGATAAAACTGGAGAGTTCCCTTGGCCATTAGTTAAAAAGGCATGGAAATTGGGTTTAATGAATGGACATATTCCAAATAAGTATGGCGGCATGGGACTTGATGTACTCACTAATTGTTTAATTGATGAACAATTGGGATATGGCTGTGCTGGAATTATGGCGCCAATTGTGGTTACGTCAATTGGAGTAAGTTTTTTTCTTGGTAAAAAATCTACAAAATATGTTGAGCTTCTTATATTTACAAATTTCAGCAATTGCCAGTTATCATTGCAGGAAACGAAGAACAAAAAAAGGAATATCTGGGGCGATTAACAGAAGAACCGTTACTAACTGGATATTGTGCAACAGAGCCTAGTGCTGGGTCTGATGTTAATGGCATTATGACTAAAGCTGTAAAGAAAGGTGATGAATATATATTAAACGGACAAAAAATGTGGATAACAAATGGTGGTGTAGCTAACTGGTACTTTGTATTAGCTAGAACTGATCCAAATCCAAAAGCGCCTGCAAATAAAGCTTTTACTGGATTCATAGTTGACGCTAATACTCCGGGAGTTACGCCTGGTCGGAAAGAAATAAATATGGGACAGAGAGCTTCTGATACAAGAGGAATAACTTTTGAAGAGGTAAGGATATCAAAAGCGAATGTTCTTTCCAGAGAAGGCGACGGATTTAAAATAGCAATGCAAACATTTGACAAAACTAGACCAATGGTATCGGCAGGTGCTGTAGGTTTGTCTCAAAGATGTTTAGATGAATCATTAAATTATTCTTTACAAAGAAAAACATTTGGTGTTCCTATTGCAACCCATCAAGCTATAGCATTTATGTTGGCTGATATGGCCGTTGCAATAGAACTTGGAAGACTTTCTTATCAAAAAGCTGCTTGGGAAATAGATAACGGTTATATAAATTTTATATTCAAAACCCTGATAAAGCGATAAAAACATTTTTTTAATAATTTGTAGGTATAAAAAATAGTTATTCTGCAGCAATTTCAAAACTTTTCACCGCTGATAACGCAATGCGAATTGCTATAGATGCTGTTCAAATTTTTGGTGGCTGTGGATTTAATTCTGAATATCCAGTAGAAAAATTAATGAGAGATGCAAAAATTTTGCAAATATACGAAGGAACTTCTCAAATACAACGTATAATTATATCTAGAATTTTATTAGAAAAATCAAAGGCCTAATAGTCATATTAGATCCTGGATTTACTACTTTCGTTGCATTTATTTATGGTTTTTTACATAAAAATTTTTTATCAAATTTCTGTATTTTAATTATAATGTTATAGTTCCTTTTTTGCTACTTAAACAAATTGTAAAGAAAGTAAAATAAAACTTTGCTTTAAATTTTAATACATTGGATATCCAAAATTTTAATTGATAAAATATCAATCAAGCAAATACTTTCAGTTTATAGGGTTTTCTTAGCGATTCTGTACCTTCCACGATAAGTGTGAAAAATGAAATTTGCTATCTTTTTCTTATGATGAAATTATTTTTAAATTTTAATAATTTAAAGTGATTTCAATGCGCTTAGTACGTACACAAACTAGTTGTAATATTATAATTTTGAATAGTCTCTATATTTTTCATTTGGAAATCTTGAAATTGAAAATATCAAATTTTGATTTAATTTTTTTGAGTCACTTAGCATATCACTAACATTTCAAATAAATATTTGAAATAAAAATATAAATTAATTAAGTTGTTTAAGAACTTGTTACTTACATTTTATCACAGTCAACATAATTGCATTTAAATTTCCACTCTTCTTTAGGTCTGTGTGTTTTTTGGTGAGCAGTTAATTTTTTATTTGAAAAAAATTCCTTGGTACATATATCGCATGTATATTTAACTTTTGCGAGGTCATGATATATATCAACATGATCTTTGTAAGCTCTTTTATTCTTAAAAGTTTTCGAACATATAGAACACCTAAAAGAAATAAACGTAACAACATTCTCACGCTTTTTTTTTTTTGAGAAAAATACTTAAAATGTTCAGGATTTATATGTACATCAATATGATCTACCAAAAGACTTTTTTTATAAAATTTTTTGCTGCAGCAAACCGCATAACCATTTGTGTTATGATCATTTTTAAAATGTGTTTTCAATTTGCCAAATGTAGGCAAGGCTGAAGAGCACAAAACACAATTTAAAGTCATAAAGCTAGAAATTTTCTGATCATATCCTTCATATTCTTCAGCTTTGTTTATTGAAATATGCTTTATTTTCTTATTTTGTCGACTAACATTCTTTCTCACCTTTACTTTTTTATTTTCCTCATGTTTAAGACAAAAGCTTTCATCTTTGGGCGCTGATAGTTCATTTTTTTCGTTACCCAATATATCGCCTGTTGAATCATTTAATATTTCTGACTTTAGTGATAAAGAACCTAAAAAATAGTTAGAAAAAAAAACATATAAATACATATATACATATCTCAATCGAAAAATGAGCTTGCAAAAGGTACCATCATCATTTGAAACATTACATGAAATCTCCGAAGAATTAAATAAAAGTAAATTAGCTCCAGTATTAGATTTTTCATCATTTATAATTCCAATTGAGTCAGATATTTCACTTTTTACCGCAATATTTTCATGTACTTCTTTAACTTTCAAATAAAATTTATGAAAATCTTCAGTTGCCTTCCAACAGTTTAAACATATTAGAGGATTATCTGGTGTTGGCTTAAATATTGTTTTTAAAATAAATTAAAAAGAAATTAAGAAATTAATTACCGTAAACCAAAAATATTTATTAATAACTTCAAGAGGACTGAACTTAAATTCATCAGAAAATACATTTAAAGTTTTATCCGGCTTTTCCAAACACATAAAACAACAACTCATTTTTAACACTGTCAACATAATTTTTACAAATTTAACCTTTAGGCGCGTTCACACACAAGTAGGATAAAATTTAAAATTACATCTATGATAAAATCTGATGGAGCTCAAATTTACATTGAAATTTATCTCAATGTTTTTAATCAAATTTAACATCCAATAATGTAGCTTTCGAAAGAGGATAATTTTAATAATTTTCGTGTGCTTGATAATTTTTTACAAAGTAAGCATATTTAAATAGGGACAAAAGTTTCCTAGTACAGCTGAATCAAATATCTGACAACAATCCATTTGTTTTCTTTAACGAAATTTGATTTGAAAACAACTTTAAACGAATAACTGATTTCGAAAATATGTATCAATTTCTGAACATGCGGCTGTCGCGAATTTTGATAAGGCCTTAACTTTTTATGCAAATGTAGCAGTGAAAATGTGAATGAGTTTTGGAAAAATGACGTTTTGATTGCTTTTATTTTATCGAAATAAATTTTTTTTTTTTTATTTTTCTATAAAAATAATTGAATCTGTGTTGAAGACACCTAAAAATTTGTATAGAAAAATAAAATTTTAAGATTTTTTAATCACAAGTCAAAAAAATTTTTTGTTTGGTGTTAACTGTTAATGATAGTTGATAAAGCCAAATTACTATGCTAAATACTAAAGCTACTGAAAAACAAGTTGAGAATAACAATGCTATTCCATGCATTAGAGAAGGAAAACCAAAACTTTAAATGTTTACTAAAATCTCTATTTTATTTTATTTTCTCTTTATCATAAATTATTTAAAGTATTTTACAATTAATTCAAAATTGCTATGTGCTATCTACAGTACGAGTATTACTTTCTTTTACTAATCTCTTTCTTCGATTACGTTTCTCCTCTTCGAACTCTTCATAATGTTCCTTTTTTTTATGATCACATAAATTTGATTTAAATTTGAATAAGCGACTACAAAAAGAACACTTAAAATTATTTTCACCCGTATGAACAGGCAAATGCTGTGTTAATAGATCTTTTGATTTAAACGATTTTTTACAAACAGTACATGGATGAGATTTTTTTAATCGATGAACTTCATATATGTGCTTATAAAGAGCCTTACGGTTTGGAGAATTTTTACCACATGTTGGGCAAACATGATCCATATTAGCTTCCTCATGATTTTTGAGGTGAGTTTTTATATATTTTTTGCCCAAAAGTGAATTGCAGATATGGCATTCTACTTTTTCGTTAGCAACAATTGAATGTTTACGCATGTGTTTGTGGAAATTATCTTTAAAAAAAATTTTAAAATTAAAATAATATTATCAATGCTTACATATAAATTGAAATTTTCAATAGCAAAATAAAATATTTTGTGAATGATTACAAGTTCATAATTTTATTTAACAGCTTTGCTTTTGAACTTTCCTTTATGTTTTAATTTTCTGTCATTTTATAACTGGAATTCCTCATTTTGTTAAACATACGATTGTGGGTAATAATACACACTATTATTACTCACATTTAATTTTTTGTATTGTTATTGTCCACGCTTTTAATTTGTTATTCCTTTTCTTATCAAAGCTTAAATATTCAGAATTGTAATCGAACACAAGTCATTTGCTGAATGAACTTGATAAAACTAACCAGAATGTAATATCTTGCCACATAAATCGCACACCTTTGTTGTTACTTTGTGAACATGCTGAATATGACTATTCAAACTCGGACGACTCGCATATCTGGAAAATTAAAAAATTATTAGTTGCCCACAGTGTTAGAAAATTCTAATTCTGGAACAAAAGAACAAAATTGAAGAGTGTAGCTACGTAAGTATGCATAAGTACAAACATATGAATATAAATTGAAACTTAGGTATCTTTTAGTTTTAGTAAAAAAACATACATATTTTGTACCCCCAGCACCAGTATGTTTCGTATTAAGTCTTTTTGTAAAATAAAGGCTTTTCTTTCACAAACTCGTTTACTTCGTGTCCAAAAAATGATTGAATTTAGTAAAAAAACGCAAGAATAAAGAGAAGTTTTAATCTCTTCATCTTGCAACATAATTCAAATATCCTTTATTTCTGTTTTTAAATTTGTCAAAATCAAATATCGAAAAATCAAATATCGTGTTCAGTATTATGCAAATAACGTCACAAATACATGAAAACAGGAAATGTCAAAAGAAACGGCCAGCGATGAAATAAGATTTTATCTCCAAAAAACGACCAGCGATCAGTCAAATTCATGTCCATAATTTCGCTTCATTGTGGCAATTTCCATTTATATACAATGTGTACACTATATAAATTTCTGCTGTCTACTTAAAATAAAATTTCTTGTGATGTTCTTTCAAAGTATATCTATTAATAGATCTACTTTGAAGTTCTTTAAAAACAGAGGGATTTATACGAAAGAGAAAAGAGCATACCAAACATTAACTGAAAAATTTAATTGTGTAGACGACTCTTTACATTAATTTCCAATCATTGCTTAAGCAACATGTTGCTAATTTACTATCATCATAATTTTCCATTACTCTTTACGTATTAAAATTTTCTTGTCAACAAATAAAATATAAAAATAAACGCTGTACCTAAAGTTTATAATTTAGACTTAATATAAAATTTATAAAGCCTAACATTTAATTAATTTTAGTTAAGCTTCACAAAAACATATTTTTCATTAACTTTGCCTTTTATAATATAGGGTTCAAATTTGTTGCCTTTGCAATTATATTCTTTGAATATATTCCGTAAGGAATACTGATAAAGATATACTAACATATACACAAACGTTCGGATTTTCATCCAAACTGTTTTCACAGAGCAATAAATTTTTATACTTATAGATGGTGTATGCAAATTAAAATTAACATAAAAATTTTTATACATTTGATAGGGCTATAAGATAAAACACGTCAATCTAAATGGCATTAATGCAACAGGTAAGTTTTTAAACCTAATAAATAAAAAATTTATGAGGCCAACTATATTTTTGGACTTTGGTCGACCTACATACATAATAAAATATACATATGTACATATTATGTATATTTTAAAAATCTTATTAAAAGTTTTTTCACCTCGTACGTTTATTAAATTGCATTATATTCATTATTTAAAGTAATCATATACTTATATGTACGTTTTATTTAAGTTAATTCGTAATTTAGCACGACCCATCGTGCGTCGCAAATACTCCACAGCTGTTGGTTTCAATTTCGAACTTTCAGACGAGCAAAAGGAAATGCAAGCGTTAGCCAAAAAATTTGCTGCAGAAGAAATTATCCCAGTTGCGAGCCACTATGATAAAACTGGAGAGTATCCTTGGCCTGTGGTAAAAAAGGCTTGGGAATTAGGTTTAATGAATGGACATATCCCTCAAGATATTGGTGGATTAGGTTTGGATGTTTTAACAACCTGCGTAATGGCTGAAGAAATTGCTTATGGATGTACTGGCATAATGACCGCAATGGAAGCGAGTGGTCTTGGTGTAAGTTACCAAAAATATGGGTTATTAAAAAACCGGTACAACGAAAATAAGTTTAACAATTTTTTGTTTTCTTTTTTCCTTTAAATAAAAAAAAAATTTAAAAACAGCAAACACCCGTTCTATTATCTGGAAATAAAGAACAAAAAAAAAAATATCTTGGCCGGCTTCTTGAGGAACCCCTAGTAGCAGCATATTGCGTAACCGAACCAGGTGCCGGCTCTGACGTTAACGGGGTTAAAACCCGAGCAGTAAAAAAAGGCGACGAATATATTTTAAACGGACAAAAAATGTGGATTACAAACGGCGGTGTTGCCAATTGGTATTTTGTGCTAGCAAGAACTGATTCGGATCCAAAGGCTCCAGCTAACAAGGCCTTCACAGGATTTATAGTTGAGAGAGAGACCCCTGGTCTTACTCCTGGTCGTAAAGAACAAAACATGGGACAAAGAGCTTCAGATACACGAGGTATCACATTTGAGGATGTTCGCGTACCAAAAGAAAATGTTCTGATTGGTGAAGGAGCTGGTTTCAAGATTGCTATGGGTACTTTTGATAAAACTCGTCCCCCAGTAGCAGGTAAAATTTCTAAATTTTTTAATTTCTTTTCTGTTTTATTAATATTATTCTAATTACGTACACTTTAAAGCTGGAGCTGTAGGCTTAGCTCAAAGATGTTTAGATGAAGCTTTAAAATATTCCCTAGAACGTAAAACTTTTGGTGTACCAATAGCAATGCATCAAGCTGTTTCCTTTATGCTAGCGGACATGGCAATGGGTGTAGAAACATCACGTTTGGCTTATAGGAAAGCTGCTTATGAAGTTGATCAAGGTATATTATATTGTTACGAAATAAGTAATATGTATTCATTAATAACAAAATGTGTTCAAGGTCGCAGAAACAGTTATTATGCTTCTATTGCTAAGTGCCATGCTGCTGATGTTGCAAATAAAATTGCGTCTGATGCTGTTCAAATATTTGGTGGAAATGGATTCAATAGCGAATACCCCGTAGAAAAGTTAATGAGAGATGCAAAGATATATCAAATATACGAAGGTACTTCTCAAATTCAAAGAATAATTATATCAAGGCAGCTATTTGATAGACTTGGAAAGTAAGTTTAAGCAAGTGTAACTTCAAAACCAAATTGTAAACGAAAAAATTTTTACAAGTTTTACGCCAAAATTTTGTTCGCGTCTTTTTTCGATTATTGTAAGTTTATTAACTATAACAAAACTTGTCGATATTGCATGTTAAAATTTTTTTATATTATAATACTATTATTAAATTAAAAATACTTAATATAAAAGAATTGTAAAAATGATGCAATTGAAAAAATTAAATGGAGATTAAAGATAATTTTTAAAAAATATATATTTAAAATTAATTAATGTATGTAAAGGTTATTTAAATAATCATAACTTACATTTTATCACAGCCAATGTAATTACATTTGAATTTCCACTCTTCTTTAGGCCTGTGAGTTTTTTTGTGAGCAGCTAATGTTTTGTTTGACAAAAATTCCTTACAGCATAAATCACATGTATGTTTAACTTTTGATAAGTCGTGATATGTATCAACGTGATCTTTGTGAGTTTTTCTATTCGTAAATGTTCTTGAACATTTAGGACATCTAAAAAAAAATATTGGTCGTAACTTTATTCACTCACACTTTTATCAAAAACTAATAAGTAGATACACATACTTAAAATGCTCAGGATTAATATGTGTATCAATATGATCAACTAAAAGGCTTCTCTTGTAAAATCTTCTATTACAGCAAACGGCGTAACCATTTGTATTATGGCCATTTTTCCAATGCGTTTTTAATTTACCAAATGTGGGAAAAGTAGAAGAGCATATCACGCAACTAAGAGTCACAAAACTAGCAACTTTTTTATCATATTCTTCAGTTTCTTCAGCGGTATTTACTTTAATTTTCTTGGTTTTCTTAATTAGCTGGATGGACTTCTTTCTGCCATCCGGTATTTTGTTTGTAGAAAGCTTCTTTTCATTGTACACTTCTATTTCCTCTTTTACTTTACCCAAAGTATCATCTGCTATTTGATCTAATATTTCTGATTTTGCAATTATGGAGCCTATAATAAATTTATTAAGATGTCATTTGAAAAGCTAAATTACATACATGTACCTACCATTATCAATATTTGCAACATTATATGAAATATCTGTAGAATTAAATGAAGGCAAATCGTCTTCCGCTTGATGTTTTTCGTCATTTAAAACTCCATCTCCTCCTAATTCTGAATCATAAATCTCACATTTCACCATATTTTCATGTACCTCTTTAACTCTCAAATAAAATTTATGAAAATTTTCAGTCGTCTCCCAACAATTCAAGCATATTTCTGGATTATCTACTGTTGGCTTAAATGTTAATATTGAGAAAAAATTTAAACAAAGTTGGAAAATAAGTTACCGTAAACCAAAAATGTTTTTTAATAATATCAATAGGACGGAATACAAATCCCTCGGAAAATACATTTAGAGTTTTATCTGAGCTATTCAAACACATAAAACAACTACTATTCATTTTTAACATTTTGAGTTTTTATTTACATATTAATATTATGAATTTCAATCTATTTCAATTTTCAACATTAGTACCTTTAAACGTCAAGAGCTGCGATTTTATGAATTATCAAGAGGGCTGCCACTATGAAAAAATTTCTCAGTCAAATATAAAGAAAATGCCAAAATTTAAGCAAAAAGTACCAAAATTGATACAATGCCTAGCTTCGCAAAAAAACACTTTAGTTCCTATTTTTATTTTCAAAATAAAAAAAAAAATAACTAGTTTCAGAAATTCTAAATAAAAATCTTATGTACGTACATACTTATGTACATACATGTATTGAACATAAACTGAATTTTTCAAAAATGTTTAATTAATTAAGGAAAACTACCTATGTATGTATGTATGTTTGTGCATTTTGAAGGCGGTAAATAAAGAATCGCCACTTACCAGGCGTTCCTCTTTTTCTAATATTTTATCGCGCATTGACTACGGGCTTTTACTTACATTTATTCGTTAAATTTAGTTTTATTTCAATTTCTACATAATGTTTAAACATCTATCATTTAAACAAAAATTGGCTGTGATTATTCAGTTTACACTGCATATGAACATATATAGTATGTACATAAAGACTGAGGAAACGGACAAAATACCTCCATTCCCGTATTACTTTAAGTTATCTTTAAAAGATTAATAACACAGAAAAGGAAGAAGGTAGTGTAAAGCTATGGTGTCAATTCTATTTGAGCCCTAAAAAAAGAACAAACTCGACTAAAAAGTAGAAATTTCCGGTAAAACTAGCTCGACCAGAGCTTAATTAAGTAGGTACATACTGTCTATCACTATCCTTGAATTATTGTACAGATAATAGCTTACGTAGATAATTTTTTATAAGTACATAGTATGTAATACTTTGCAAATAAAATAAAATATTTAAAACCATCAAACCTTTATTGAAATTCAAGTCTTTAATTTTTCATTATAGTTATTTAATGCTAAGTGGTACACCTTTTTTTTCCATCAAACATTTTTCCCCGATTTTGGTAAATATTTCTTTCTGTTGCATAAATGTTCAATATTTTTATTATTAACTTGAAACCTTCGGAATGTGATATTTTGTTTATTCTTCCACCTGTATATATATTTTGTAAAATTCTTTTTTGCAAACAGCGAATATTTTTTTGCGTAACGTACCGAACTACCAGAAGATAAATGCTTTAACAGTTATTCAAATTTTAGTTTTACAATTTCTATTTTTTGTAAATTAAATAGCGAATAAAATCCAGCATAATTGAGTAATATTAATGCCATATTTTATTTAATTATATTAAAACCAAGTATATTTTAAATTGCAATTTTCAAATTCGAAGACAATTTTTCAATCTTTTTCAAAATGATCATTAAACTAATTGCTAAAAACCTCATATATATTTGCTCCAAGAGCAATATTTTTTTCTGATGAAAGTAGAAATGGCAAAACTGTTGAAACAATATTAACAGATTTGTGATCAGCTTTTTTTACACCATTAGAAGTTAAGCAATTTACTATTGGAATTATTTTTGCAAGTGGTAATTTTATTTCATTAATATTAGCAAAATTTTCATTGCTTCCTCCGTTTTTTTGTGAAGTTTCGTTACACCGAAAATACTCTGATATGCAATCCACTGCAACTGAAAACGAATCGCATACATTATTTCCGAATAGTAGTGAAATCTCACTGTTCTCCAATATATCGACTGTATCTAAAAACATTTCTTCCAAAACTTTGCAGCCAACAAAATTTTTAGGCAATACGTATTCTGAAATTTTGTTTGATCTGGAAAATTCGCTATGCATAGCAGTTTGAATTGTCCAAAACAATTTTTCGATTTCTGCAAGCGAAAGCTGTTGTTTCAATTCATAAGAGTTCATTAATTCTCGAATTTTCACGTCTACAACTCTTTGCAAATTATGTATTCCTATATCTAAAAAATGCTGTGACAAAGACAAATATTTTAATCTCATTTCATCAGTTATAATTATATTTGACTGTTTTTCTGTATTTTTGAATAAAAATCCTCCCAAAATATTTACTTGAACTCTTAGAGTAATTGTAATCAAAGATAATGAGTAGATTAGCGTTGTTAACCTCACAAATGTTTTTATTTTTAATTCATTCCATAGTGAAACTTTATCACCTTCCTTAGTTTTCAATTTATCCAAAATATCACCTGTATTTATTTGTTTCATTAAATTATCACAAATATTCGAAGTAAAACCTTGAATTGCTTGATTACAAGTCCTTTCTGTTGATTCATAATGCTGAAATTTTCTGCTTCTTTCGAGATACGAAACGAATTGTTTGCTTTGGTAATTCTGAATACTTTTTTGTATGTACTTTGATATAAATATAATAAAACCTAATATTAAACCAGAAATTGCAAGAATTTTTCTTTTTCGAGGATCAATGTAATACCCGATTGCCGAAAACATTATTAAAAATTTACAATTTTAAATGATAAACTGATATAATGTATGCAGTGTTATTCTCCGTGTATCCATTTGACTTTTATTATAAAATTATTAAATTAATTTGTTTACATGTTTCAAAAAACTAAACATCAAATTTTTTTCTTTAGTGTTACCATTTCCATTATTTCATTTCTTAATTCATTAGCAGTGTTCACATATTACACGGCGATTGTTGCGTTAAGTATCTATTTACAAAAAATGGTATTTTAGCTTATCAAACAAAATTTTTTGTTTTGAAATTTAATTTGGCCAAAATTCCAATGCACGCATTTTAATGATAAAAGAATTAGACTGAATTTAATAAAGCAGACTTACAAAGGACCTATGATTGTGCTTTTTCAAATAAAAAAAATATATATAAAATAATGCAGATTAATGGAATATTATTTATAAGTATATTCAAAATTGTCAAATTAAAGTTAAATGGTTATGAAATTTAGCAGAAATTTTTATAATGTTTATTGCTATGTAGGAAATTGAAAAGCCATAAAAAATACCGCTTGTCGCATAAGAAATTGTACGATAGTCAATATTATCGAATTGCCAGCCGGGCAAACCGAGTGGAATAATTCATTTAATGGTATAAAAATATAATAGACGTATGTCTATTATATTTAAAATAGACGTATGTCTATTATTATAAAAATAATGGAATTACACTTTTGGATCCAATAATTCAAAATATATATATATAAACAATTATTGGCAATTATTGAGATTTCAACCCCCGGCCGATTGACATTAGATGATAGTAGTATACATCTAAATACCTAGAGTCAATTTTTGAAAACTTTAGTTTTAAAAGAGTGGTCTACTCCATTAAAAAATACCATCCACTATATAGTCCAGCTACTACATGAAAAGCGAATTGTTTTATTATGACACTATTCTTGATAGTAATAAGAGGATGGAGTGAAAATTAAATTTTAAAATTGAATTTTCATTATTGTCGATGATATTCTTTAAATTCAAAATTTCTTTGAATTTCAGTTTTGAGTTGAATTTGAAATCGTTAAGAGGTAATTTGCGTGCGCGGATTAGAAGTGAAAACTAGTTTTTAAAGTGAAATTCATAACCTTATATGTCATTTTATATATTTGTATGTATGTAGATACCAATAATAATTTTTTATTAAACGTATAAAAATATACACAAAAAATACGGTTTTTTTTCTTTATGCTAACTACTAACAAATTATATTTAAAAAAATTTTACGATTAAAAAGTAAAAACTAATTTTTGAATAGAAATTTTTAAATTTCAATAAGGCAATTATTGGAATAGAAAAGTGCCAACTATTTATATATACATAAAAAAAAAAAAAAAAACAAAATACCAAATTGCTTATTAGATTTAATAAAACTTGTAAAATTTTTCTTTTACCCTGTGGATTATTAAAATATAAATACATTCAATCTGGATTTAGGATACTACGAGGCTCATAGAGGTAAGACACAAAGTGATATTTACAAACATTCATACTTATACAAAAATTTAATGTAACAAAATATTTAATACATTGGTGCAACTTCCAAACTATTTTAAATAAATTCCTACACTTTACCTACTCGTGTAGTAACTAGTAATTGATCTTCTGTGAAATGTGCATTTTAATTACATTAGGTATTAATGTTTAATCTATGTATGTATGTATCTACGGATCATTTTAAAAAATACATGCATACATACTTATAAGTATTTATATCAATATTGTGTACAAGCATACTTATGTATTTAATACGTATGAATTTTTAGAAATTTCACCTGTTGAAATTCCTAATTGGAGATGATAGTAGAATTTAGTAGTTTAAACATTATGTTTCAATCTGCGGTTTTTTATTGAATTTATAATAAACTCGCAATCATAAAACATTATATTGACTACATTAAATAATTCGGACTTATCAACAAACACCAAGTATGTGTGCCCGCGTAGCAAAATTTTAGTAAAATTGTGAAGCAAAACTCATAATTTATTTCAATTTATAAAAATAATAATTACTGGAATAAAATCTGGAGTTTACTTATTTTATTGTACATTTATAGGGGAAGGCAGAAAGTGGGCTAACTTAAAATCGTTACAACCTATATACCTATTTTACTTAATTCAGTACAAATATATGACTGCTAAGAAAAATTTTATGTTTATTCAAGTTTTTTTCTTTTAATATTTTTGGAACCTAGAAATTTTTATATTTTCCAAATTGTAGTAAGTATGAAATAGTTGTATGTTTTTATTAGGTATATATTAATATACGTAACAGCACACTATCTGTTGTAAAAAATATTTATTAATATGATATTTACTTACATACCAACATAATACTATTACGTTGATTTGTTTTCAAGTCTACTTTTTAGTAAGTCTTGAATAAAAATTTTAGTTAAATATATGTAATTGTTTTAGTATCATTGGTTTGAAAGATAAAAATACGTGATTCGAAATTGAAGGTTTTGCAGATCTGTTGCATTTTTTGTGACATTTACAGTAGAACTCCTATATAACAAACAATTTATATAACGATAATCTATATTTTTTAGTTACATGTTTTTTGATGTAATAGCAAGTATATCTATATTTAGGAGAATTGTATAACATCTGTGTATTCTTGTAATTCAAATCCGTATAATTAAAAGCGTAGGTAAGCAGGTGTACCCAGTTAAAATAAGAAATAAAGTATTTTCAGAGTTGTATGGCTATGAATTATAAATAAAGCAATATGTGTAAATAAAGTGTAAATTTTTGTGAGAATTTTTTTTTTTGCAGCCATGCAAGTGTTTTAGTAAAATGAATAATAGACGCATTTTTAAAAATTGAATTGCAAAATTTATTTGCTATAGTTTGAGCATTATCCACATTCACTTATTTAGTCAATAAAAAGCTTTATTTTCAAGCGAGTTGAAAGATGAAATAATCTCAGTTAACATAAAAAAACCTGATGTTTTTCGAAAAATTTTGACAATTTCAACAATTTTTGTTTTATACTAAAATCTAGGTTATAGATTAAGTAGCAAGCATTGTTACTACAGATCAAATATTTTTATTTTTTGATTAATAGTATTATTTATTTAACTATACCTATTTATTCAGTCATTCAAAATTTACACACATTTTTTTATAATAATTTATACCTTGTTACCCAACACAATTTTTTTGAATTATTCTACATTTACTTACTTATTATTTTATTTCGCAAAATAAGATGAAAGGAGAACAAAAAAAAAAAGAAAAAAAAAACGCGAAATTATAAGCATTTAATCAAATTTTTAAAAAAATAAAATTTCGTTTTTATTTTAGGTAGGTAGTTATGTACCTATCTACGAGTATGTTGATATGTATGCACATAAAACTTAATAATAAACTGAAATTACCTAAACAAAAAGAGGAAAAATGAGTATCGCTTACATTGTATTTATAGTGTAGCACAGTACATAGCAGTAATAAATATCGGATCAAATAAAAGAATTTTAATTTTTCATTTTCCTTTCATTGCTTTATTACTTAAATAAAATGATAAAGAAAATGGTACTTATATATACATATATATATATATATATATATATATGCACTGTGACTTTTTGAAATAATTTTAAAATATTGCAAAATTTGAGCTTATTAAAAAATCTCATTATTATTGTAAATTGGTAAACATTCAAATATTTTTTATTTGATTTGGATTTAAACTACTTTCAGTAAGTAGATACTTACTTAGATTTAATATTGTTGTACGAGAACAAATTAATTAAAAATCATGAAATCTGAAATGATAAAATATCTCCATAAAATCGAAGGTTTAATATGATAATGTAATATTTGCGTGTATGGTATGATGTATGCAAATCTATTCTGGTACATAATTTATAATAATTTTAAGTAAAAAAGTACCTACCTATAAACTATTAAATTTAATACTAAATCATATTAGTGTCCGTGTTTTTAAAAATTCAATTTTTTTCTTTTCTAATGGTAAGTACTTACATGCAGTGTGTTTTAGTTTAACAGGAAATGTCAAGGAATTATTTTTGAAATTTATAACAGTTTGAAATTTTATTTTCTTTGCTGCCAACTATACATTTTTTTTTAAGAACTTTTTTGATTTTAAGACAGTACAGCTACTTTTGATTTTTTGCTCAGTAAGTAAGTAAGATGTAAGAAATATTTTGTTTTGTTTCAAATAATTGACTTCGTTTTTATTATTTTACATAAATTAAGTAAAAATTTTGTGTACTTAATTTCTTCCATTACTTATATGAAGCTTTGTTTGTTTCAGTTTTGATCATAGATCATAATTAATCTTAAAATTTGTAAATTTTTTAATTACCTATGCGCAAAAAATTGTTTTCATTTAGTAAAATAGTTTTAAATGCTTTAAAGTTAATACTTAAAAATATTTTTCAGTAGATTTTTTTGTATTTTCGATTTAATAAATAAATAAGGTATAAGTAGGGCTATTTAAATATATGTACATTTGCTTATGTTCTTAATTTCATACATTATATAGCCCATATTATGCTCAGTCACTTAAATAAGAAAATAATTTTTGGATTCGATCATCATTTTCATAAAATTGAAAAATCGTGCTTTTTTTTTATTAAACCAGTTTTTCACTATCAATAAAAATTTTGAATAACCAGATGAAATGATTGAACGTACGTAAATTATGTATATAAAAAATTTTTTTTTTTAAAGTTATCTTGTCTTTATTTTGAAAAACTAGAAATTGTTGACAATTTTTGAATATTTTTATGAAGATTTCGTTGAATTTATTTTGTTGATTTTTTTTTTTTCATTTTCAATTCAATTCCATTTTTTATCTGTACACATTTATATATTTTTTTTTTGCATTGGAAACAATGTTGCCGACCTTGATTAATTTTTTTTTTTAATAAATATTAATAATTAGGATTGAATTGTTTCTGATATTTATTTATTATGTAAGTAGACAAGTATATGCACACACGCTTATATTATGATAAATATTTTATTTCATTATTATTTTTGTTCAACATTTTCTCAACAGCTATTGTGCAGTTATAATATTTTGCTTCTTGTGTAAATTGTAAATTTCCCTATACTTATTTATTTTATTAAAAATAAATAAACGTCGAAAATTTTTTTAATTATTTTACATTCTGCTTACTAGCTTTAAATAATTACAATGCAAATGTTTTCAATAATTACATTTTTATAAGTAAAATTGCAATAGCTGCGACATTATTAACGTAATTGACAAAAAATTGAGTTATGTATTTTTCATTAATTTGATTGCAAAACGATTCAATACTCGTACAATTTACCTATAAAAAGCAAGTACCTAATCAAAAGATAAAATCTTTTAATTAGAAAAAATTCATTTTGTTCTTTAAATGCTTTAACTCTATATTATAATTGGTTTACGCGATATTAATTAAAATTTATGTGGTCATGTAAATGAAAAAAAAATTGTTTGGTTTAATTATATTAATTCATCTTAAGTTGTCATATTTCATATACACATAAATATTATTTACTTATTATTGATAAAAGCATGCTAAATTTATTTATAATATAAAAACATGCATACATACATACATACATTAGGTAAATATATATTTATATTTTATATAATACTTGGATCACCTTAATTTTATTTTGAAACCATTTAGGTATGTGTTTGTTACCTTTTGGAATTCATTAATGGTTTTAATCGCAACTTGCAAACGTGAACAACATATGTATGTACATATGTATATATACTTTTTAAAAATATACTTATGACCGTACATATGTTCATACATTCAAACTGAATAATTGTGCAGTTGACATTATTTATTTTCATATTAGTGTATGTAACGTGTTAACGTAACCGTTATTTGTATTTTTAATTTTTTTTTTATATTTTTTTTTATTATTTTTCCTACTTATTCCAATTTTTTAAGTATGTATCCACATTCATACACACTACCTCTTTTTTTTTACATATTCTTCGTTTATTTATTAATTTTTTGTTTTTATTATGAGAAAGTTAGGGAATTAAAAAATTCATTATTCTTTATATGAAAGTAAATGAAAATAAAAAAAAAATAATGAATGAAATCACCATGTATGTACGCATTACAATTACAACGTACGTGTTAAAATGAACAAAAAAAAATTAATAACGATAGTATGCATGGTGTACAGTGAAATCCACTTACAACCCCCAATGCTTACAATAATTTTTCGGTAATAGTGCAAAGTTTCGCTGTCAAAATCTCTTTTTATTATCTTTCCTTACATGCGGCGATTCAATTGTTTATATTTATTTAGTTGCTAATGTTTATAAACACATACCGCTTATTAGCAAAAATGTTGATAAGATAATTGTCAGCTGTTCCTTGTAAATAATTTTGCTCAACTCTATAAGTATACATATTTGACTTCGTTTATAATCATGCATTGCTTACGTCCTTTTTTTTATCGGTTAA